CGCCTTGATGCGCATCAGCCATTGCATGTAAACCAGCTGCTTCTGCTTCTCAAATAGTGTTTGGTGTGAACATGGCATATTGAGAGGTTCGCTGAGCTGAAAATGTCGATCAGATCGTTTAGCAAACTAGTAGCAATAAGCAAAACACTTTTGTAGTGTTTATTTTTAAACAAGCCTTGTAAGTTGTGTAACATAGTTTGCTTATTATACTTGCTAATATATCAACATGTTGAGCTAGTTAAGAATGATCTGAAAGGTTGTTACCTCTGCGACATTGGCTATTTAGTTTATTCTATAAATAAACCCACCCCTCAACCCCCACACTGCTCCCCAGGCGCAGCACATTTGCAGCCCCCTGCCCCAAGGGGAGGGTTTAAATGCAGAGTGAATTTCATTGCTTTGTACTTGTGACAATAAAGTTTAATTCTATTCTATCAAAATATTAGACCTGTGTTAAATGAAAATAAATGTATAATGTCCACAGTTCAAAATATCTATTTTTATATTCATTTAATGTAAAAATCGAAATATAAAAAACAAACTAAAGAGAGTTAAACCTGGATGCAAACAATAACCAAGAGTCAGTTATATAGTTTATTGGATTTGCAGCTTGGTGTAAATGGTGCTTGGAGACAATCAGTGAAGTGAACTGGCTGTTTGTATTACCCCCGGTCAGATGCATTTGTTATTGTTGTAGTCATAAATGAGATTAAGTTGGTTAAAAACCAGAGAGCAACTTAATGTGTATTCTGTACAAGTTTAAGAATAATTTAAAAGCATTCTCTGAGTGTTATAGTCTGAGTGTATTCTAGATGTAACAAAATTATGGCTGGTAATAAACCTCTGTGGCAGCTAGATTGTGAAATCCACCTGCCAAGGCTGGTGGCCAAAAAAGTTCACTTCAGGCATTGTGTGCAGGTGTGTGGTGACAATGCACATTTAATTGAAGGGAGTCACTAATTTTGTGTCTTTCCTTGGCATACCTAACAAGCCTGTGGTGACAGTAACAATAAAAAACTCCCTTTTTGACGAGAACAAAAGTTCTGTGTAACCCAGCTTAGTGGGAAAGGCCATGTGCTGCAAGAGCCTTGGGAATCCAGAGGATTGCTCTCTCTTCTCGTACCAACCCAGTCCAACAGTACTTTCTAAGTATTGATTACAGGTTAGTGCAGTATAACATTTTAGCCTACAATTAATTACTTAAATAAATGCATCATGCTACAATCTTGTGTAGTTTTCAGCTTTTTTAATTTTGTATAGATTACCTTTTACGGTTATGGTATGAAGTTATCCTTCATTATCAATAAAAAAAATACAACAGTTTTTTTCTTTAACCACTCCACAAAAGCTATTGTGCTTAGGGCTGAAGAGTGTACAACTGACAAAAAAAAAGGTTCAAATGCCATTCAAATCAAAAAGGATTTGAATGCCATGTTTGAACATTCATATATTTATTGCAAATGTCTTAAAGGTATTGTAGAGGATTTTCGTGAATTTTTTAAAAGACCCGCCCTCTCAACTTAAAAAAAAGAAATGCTCATGCACAACCGTGTACCCGCTCCAGAGAGGGAGCACCTATTAAACGCATGTGAGACCATGCATGAGCCCTTTTCTCCTCTTGAACACTTTTAATAGTTACTCTTCTCATAGCTCATACAGGTTTACTGTGTCTGAACATCCACCCTAACCCCTAAATCCCTTAATCACTACAGATGAGCACTACTTTTTGCTCCCCGTTAGTCACGTAACTCCACTCCACTAGTGAGAGGGGTTACCTTATTTTTGTTATTGGTCACAGCTGTTGGGTAGCAGCAGCCATAGGCTGCTGTGACAGCAAATCCAATAATGCTTTGCACGGAGAGCTCTCCGTGCAAAGCATTCTGGGATATATCTGCCTCTTTGAAGGCCTTTCTTTTCTTCTCATACACTTCATAGACACTTTTTCTCTTATGACCTTCTGCCATTTCTAGAGAACCACTGTGAGAAATGTGAGCTTCAATGACTCTTGGAAACCGTAGCTCACCACACATAAATGCCTAAAAGTGCGCATGCGCAGAAAAAGGTAGCTAACAGGACAAGCACGTAGGACGGCCATACATAAACATATCACCAGAAAAATTGACAATTAGGAGGACCACTTATTTAGATGATCCACACAGAAATAAAAGATACCTTTGAATACATGTTAAGTTGATAAATTAAGCAGATAGAGAAATTCCATAAAAACAAAAAAACAAAAACAGAGGAAATTGCTCTGAAAACTGCTTTGTAAATTGCACCCTCAAAATAATGTGTTTGAGCTATATATAAGTGTTTCCAAATGAGTAAATGTGTAGTTTATCGGCTTTGAAACATTCCTAAATTGCTGTAGGTGTAACATCCCTCTTCAGTACTTCACCGATTCTCTAAATTCAAATGGAACTCTCTTTCCATCTAACTTTTAATGCCTCTTTTTAAAAGCTGTTAATCCCCCCCCCCAACCCCACTAGCGAACAGATTTAATGACTTATGAACTGTTTTTGAACCCTCTGAATTTTCCTGGACACTTTCTCCATATGTTTTCAGAAAAGCTGCTTGAAGCTAAATCAAGTGATTAGTTAAAAAGTAGATATACATTCAAGATGCCATCTGTCTTTGAAGCTGGAATCAGTTTGTAATGTAAGTTTAACATTAAAAGCCACAAAAAAATAAACAGTGTAATACACAGCATACACAGCAAAAAATGGTTTATAATTAGTGCCTTAACACCTAGACTCTTCTAAAGTTGTTTCTCTTTCAGAGACGGTGTACTAAAGAAATAAAAAAAAGTAGACAGAGCGACGTTTTACTGAGGCCCTGCGTGTCAAAGAACATTGCCGTAGGGGCCCCCCGCCATCGGGCGGTTCCCTTAAGGCGCGGTAGTGGCCTCAGTCCGCACCTAGGTAATGTGATCTTTTTCACTTAAATTTGTCCAGGAAATTTTCAGCCAGCAACTTGCCCCAACCAGTTTATAATTAGTGCCTACACACCTCGACTCTTCTAAAGTTGTTTCTCTTTCAGAGACGGTGTACTAAAGTAATAATAAAAAGGAGACAGAGCAACGTTTTACTGAAGCCCTGCATGTCAAAGAACATTGCCGTAGGGGTCCCCGCCATCATGCGGTTCCCTTAGGGTGCAGCTTTTTATCCCTGTGGAAAGATAGGAAACACATTGGGGAGGGAGAGAAGAAAACATATTCACACTTTCTCCTTGACAGGGCACAGTTTGAGATGTCGAAAAACATCTAGGCACAAGAAAAGCAGGAGCAGGACCGGACTTTCTTGTTATATCACCCAGAGAGGAGAGCTTAAGATAATGGGAGATTTCAGTGGAAGACAAAAGAGTAACTTCAGTTAGAAGAACACCAGGACCTCTCACACTAGATGTAGATGGAGAGGTAGTAATAGCAGTAGCAGTCCACAGGGTCAGAATTACATACTTTTTCCCAGAAATTTTTGAGATTTTTTTCTTTAGCTTTTCTTTAAATAAATATCATCTCCTTATTATTTATTGACATTTGATTGGTATGTCAAGAACAGAAAAATACTTTCACCTTTTGTAAAAGTCATACAGCAGCAAACACCAGACCATCATGGTTAGAGAGTTATAAATTGATAAATTTGTATTGGCAATAAACTGTCTTTTTTTTGTGGGTATTTATCAAACAGTTATCTAACCATTCTACAGCCCATATCATTAACTTATGCAACTTATGTAAACCAAACTTACTTAATCCAAAAGATTGTGTCTTACTCTTATGAATCATTATATTACAAATGTAAAAATATTAACCTAAAAGAAAAAAATTAAGCATTGCTTAAAACAATACTAGCAATTGAATACTTTGGATATACCGATATACATCACAACCATAAAAACACTCAAAATATTTAGAATGATGCAAGATGGAGCTGAAAGGATGCTGAAGCATCTGAATCACATTGCTTATGTTTTTAAGCCCATTCAATATGTAACTTGAGCCGTAGTGAGGAGAGAAGAGGCAGTTTTGGAGCTGGGATTCTGACTAACGCTGCTACCCCACAGAACACCAATTGTGGAGATTATATAAATCAGAAGACTTGAGTCTGGTGAGCTAGCGGCCCATCGGCCAGCTGGCTAAAGCTGGAAGGTTCTCAGAGTGCTTTTGGTTTCACCGCCTATGAGCTCAGCTCTGCTGACTGAGCAAAACACTATTAAAACTCCGAGGAGAGGTCTCCTCGCAAAGCATTATGGGATTTGCTGCACAACGGCACTCTGTCGCAATTTGCTGTCACTACCCGACAGCAGCGACAAATAAAAAAGCGGCACCATGTGGGGAGGCAGAGTTCCGTGACCAATGGGGAACGAAAATTAGTGATCATCTGTATGAACGTTCAGTTAATTGAGTTCATTATAAAGTCAACTATATATTCCCCACTTTATGCAAATGTGGATGATTTCATTTTGTACATGTAATTTTTCAATATTTGCATGTGCATTTGAGCAGACATATGCAAACACTCAAAGATAGTAAGTCTTTGTTTTAGAGTTTACAATAATATCTTACACATAAAAAAAAAAAAAATACACAGACCTAAACATGTTTACACACCTTACCCACCCAGTATTGCATACACAAAAACATATAGTCTGTTTTCTCTCCATAGAAAGCTGAAAAAGTGCAAAAAAAGAAGTGTAAAAAATGTTCCTTTTACAAAACTGCTTGGAGTCAAAGTTATATACAACAGGGTAGTTTCAAATAAAATTTCCATAAAAACCCATGAATTGTACAGCCATACTTTTATTCGCCCTTTTTTGTTTCAAATATTTATAAGCTTTGAAACCCCTCCCCTGCAGTCCTGGAGGTGGCCCAAGTACACCATTTGGCTGACAGGAATCATCAATCAATGTAGCACACCTGGGCTTTACATACAATTAAATCAGCTCGAAGGAATTCACAGCAGATAGTCATCCATGGCTTTCACTGTTGTTTTGTGTTGATAAATTGCTCATAACCTGGTGTAGTTTAAACCACTTTCTGTAGACATTTGTGAGTTGAAGTGAGTCCATCGAAGTCTACAAAGCTAATTTGTGAGTATCGGAGTCTTAATATAATTATTATTATTTTTTTTTTGCACCAGTTAACCAATGACTTCCTGAAATTGGTCAATGTATGCTCATCTTAACACAGGATATTTTATATGTGGTATTGAAAAATTTGCCATGTTTTAATTACCAAACAGATTTTCTGAAAAAAAAATACAAGGATAAATACTTAGCAAAAGGGAGTTCTTGTATTATTTATACAGTGGATGGGTTTCTGTTGCATTACTTATAAATGTACACAATGCTAAATGAACCAATAGTTGAATTTCTTGAAACAGCTTTTTTCTTTTTCATTGAACTACTAGTGGTAATTCAGTCCAACTAGAATTCCCCTACATTGACAAAGCTTCTATAAATGGAAATAATTCTTGTACAAGTATATTTGTAAAAAAAAAAAAAAGCTGTCTATGGGGACAAACAGAAGTTAGAGTAGGGTATTTGAAAAGAAATGTTCATCCTGTGTCTTTACTCTGGGAAATGTTACAGTTAAGCTGGGGCTTAACACAGTGATCCACATGGTGGGTGGCATTATGAGAGGGCAGATGGTCCCACTCAAGCAGGAAGTGATTGACATAATGACATGGCCGAGCATGGAAGGTGGGTGTATATGTGCACTGAATGAGCGTCTGTGACTGTTTCTAAAGAGAAATCATTAAAATATATTTCTACCATATTTGTTTAAGTGGTTGTCTAAGACCCACATGGTAATCTGTGTTTTTTTTTTTTTAAAGGCATGCTTATTTCTCAAAATTTGTTCACTACCTTTAAATGTCTTTACATATTTCCTTTCTTGCGCTATATATGCATATGGAAAATTGGAGGACATTCTAAATAACCTAGTCCTACATGAATAAAATATGCCACACTCATTCATGGGTTAACTTTTTTTTTTTAGCTTTTTCAGTACAGTTCAGTTTCACCGAGGACTACTACAGACCACTTGCATCATTTTACCCATACTGCTTCTAAATTAGTTTCTTATAGGTTGAAATTAATTAATTTATTTTTATAAAACGGACAGATGCACCCAGTATTCAAGGTGAGACAGTCGGTAGTAAAGTTCAAAACATTTATTAAAACAGAACAGAACTGCGGAGCTGTGGTCCACGGCAGCTGACATTCCACTGACATTCTGGAGGGAGAAACGCGGGTAAGTGACCACAATCTTTTTACAGGTGATGATTATCAGAGTGAGTTACTTACCTGGTTTGACAGTTCTGTCCATCCTCTCAATAGGCAAGATCAGCCGATGCACTGCCAACGAGACGCCGCCCAGTGTGTCCTCGATGCAGCAACCCCAAGCAGCGGGCAGGCAGGAATCCGATCCAGGACAGTGATACTGATCAGACCAGGACAGTTCCAACATCCAGGTGTCCGTAGTTCAACCAGGGGTTCCGATCCCAACAGGAACAGAGGGATCATGTCTTCCAGGAATGCTCAGAGCATGAAGGCAGGTTTAGAGTCAGACGGGTCCAGAAGTGTGCCCAGACAGACACGGGAATCAGGAAACCAGAATTACTAGGAAACGCAATAACCACTGGTTGGGGAATGAAATCCCCTGAGGACACTGGCTCGAGAATAATCTCCCCACTGGAACAGGGACATGAACCTTACAATAAACCAAACTAATGAAACAGAACCTAAAGACATCAAACAGGGGACAAACGGAAAACAAACAATAATCTGGCCTTGATGGCTTGGGATGAACCGAACATAAAGGAATAGATGCAGGTGGATGAGATGAGTGATAATTGGAAGACCCAGAATGGTGACCTTTGTCGAATATTATCGGCGTTCAGGTTGGATTGTGATCTGGACACACAGGTCTCATTTAAACAGATCAGATTAGATCAGATTAAGGACAACATAGGTAAGTGGCCTGGGTTTCTTTGAAAAATATGTTGTTCAGACTGTCATGAAGAGATCAGATACAGGTTGCATATGGGCAAAAAAGCAGGAGTCTGGTTACTTCAGGCTGCTGTGTGAACATAGCTTTAGATATGTTTGAGCTTTTGTTCTTATCTGCATTTGAGGCTGCATTTCTTCAATTCTGAAATGGAGAGAATATGGTAGTTAAACTTTTAAACACAGTGTTTAGTTAAGAATCAGAATTCTTGACTAGTTTAACAGACAATTGCGGATCTAAATTTAAAAATGGCTTCTGTACATTGTGGAAACGATTGAGATACCTTATTCAACATCTCAAATTAACCTTTACTGAAAAATTAAATCTGGAAGACTTATGAGCTTTACCTGAACCACCTGTGATGTCCATTGTTTAGCTACAGCCAATCAACTCAGGGCCGCACCTTCTCCAAAGCCAATGATCTTTCAAAATCCCCTTCATTTAACTCCTGGCTTAGCTTCTCTCTCTCACACGCAAGCAAACTATTACCCATCTCCTTCCTCATTCTTGGACTATTGTCCGTCACACTCACCCTCTGGCTTATCCAAGTTCACTCATCCAAGCGAATGTTGATTCACATCAAAGTATTCTGGCGGAGCCTGAGTACAAAATAACTTATTTCATTTGTCATTATCTGTTTCCATCTCCTTGAACCCTAGTCGGCCTCGGCAGATGGTCTCTTGCACTGAGCCTGGTTCTGCTGGAGGTTTCCTCCTGTTTAAAAGGGAGTTTTCCTCTCTACTGTCACTACCCGCATGCTTGGTGTGAGGGACTGCGGTTGAGTAGATGCAATCAGCTGGTTCTCCTTAGATTTAAAAAAAAAAAAAAAAAAAAAAGCTTTTAACCAATTTCACTCTGATCTGGTTAAATTGTCTCTATAAAGTGTTTTGAGATGACAAACATACTTTTATGTTTGAATAGGTTAAAAAACAAAAAAAAACTAAATTGAATCTCTGAACGGGGAGTTTAGCTGACATCAAATATAAAAGTATTTATGTCAGGCACCGGGTGATTTCTCAGGTGTGTGTGTGTGTGTGTGTGTGTGTGTGTGTGTGTGTGTGTGTGTGTGTGTGTGTGTGTGTGTGTGTGTGTGTGTGTGTGTGTGTGTGTGTGTGTGTGTGTGTGTGTGTGTGTGTGTGTGTGTGTGTGTGTGTGTGTGTGTGAGAATATAGCCAGGAGTTTATCACATGCTTGTAACACTGAATATACAATAAAGTTGAAAAATACATCTCAAATGTTTTCCATTTGAGTTTGTCTTTAATTTCCTTCTCAATCTTCTAGGAACTTTGCTTGGGATGCTTTTTTTTGTTTTTTTGTTATAATTATTCTAGTAACAGATCTGGTGACTCTGATTAAAATGATGTAATATCCACTAATTCATTCATTAACAGAGGCATGAGCCAAAACATGACTCTGAAGGTGGAGGGGGGGGCGCTAGTGGGACATTTGTTTTGGGGGATGTGAGTCTGAACAGCTCTAGGATTATTCTCTTACCTGTGGGAGGGGTAGTATAAGAGGTGGCAGGAACATTCAGAAGGGGTGGGAACAAACTGAAGGGGGTAGGATTGTAATGCAGGAAGTGGGAGGAACAATTAACTGCGATAGGAGGGAGAAACGGAAAATCCTGGTAATTGTATTGTTAAATGATAATCTCTGGTGGCCAATGTAAAGTAGGCAAGGTAAAATGTATACTGTCCCTTTGTTTTTACATAAAACAAAGGGAATTATTGTCTTCACATTCTCAAAACACCTGTAGTGTAATGGTACTGCTATTTCACTAAATTAAGAAAATGTATTAAAAGCTCAAAGGTTCTTACCGATTTTCTGTGCGATGAATTAAACATTCAGTCCTCTAAATCAAGTCTCACTGCTTTAATTTGAAGAATTTTGCTAAGCGGGTTGGGGTTTGCCAAGAGGGGTGGGTGTGTTTATTAAAGGAAAAAGTACACGCCTTTAACTACTCAAAATTGTCCATTTGTAAAACTTTTTGTTCAGTGATTAGAGCCCCAACCTGTAGGAACAGCTTGACCTGCCTGAGGTGCATGTGTGCATGCCTAAAACCAGGTTTGTTGCTACAACCGGTTTAGGTTCCAACATTAAATGACCAGGTAAACAGAGCCGTGTTGAGAGCTAGCTGGGTCCTAAATGCTGTACTGTAAAGGCCTTGGGTGTTTAAGAAGTATCCAACATGCTTTCAACTGTTAAGGAACTTGTTTTCCCATTTGTGCTACTTTTTGACATGGAGCCTTGCTGCTGTGTGTGTGTGTGTGTGTATGTGGGGAATAATTGTTTTTCCTGCAAGGCAGGCACAATTTTCTGTTAGACCACTACATCGTGGGGACCCACCATCCTTATGGGGACCCCCATCTGGTCCCCTTGTGGGAGATTACTGTTTTAGGCTTAGTTATTGGGTTTACGACTAAGATGTGAATGAAGATCTGGTTATGGTTAGGCATGTCCTTGTAATGGTTAGGTTAAGGGTCAAGGTTGGGCTATATAACTCACAATTGAATTGAGGTCAATGAAAAGCCCCTGCCGAAATAGTGAAACCAGATATACGTGTGTGTGTGGGGGGGGTGGGGGGGTGTAAAGGGTTGGTGGGTGTACGACGAAAATGCAGGGTTTCAAACATTTTAAACATGTTTGATTTTTCTCCCGATTTCTGATCGGTAGGTGGTCGTGAGAGGCTGATCACCCCTCATTATCCCCTGTAGACTACAGGTTGCACGATCAAGCTGAAAGCCGGCCTGATCGAAAAATTCTCACACGACTGGGAAATGTGCTCGAAAACGGCAAAAAAATCGGACAGTATATGCCTGGCTTATACTTATACACCCCCCATCAAAAATGATCAAATTGATGATCAAATGATTGATCAAAAATGTTAAGTTTCTTCAGGACATTATTTAAAGGTGGAGCTTGTCTTTAGAAAACTGTTTTGTTCTTGAGAGGAAGGACATCAAATTGGCTACTTTTCTGACTACTTGGGACTGTACTCATTAGTTAGCAATTAGACATTAGTGGCTCTGATTTAAATTAGGAGGAAAGCTAATTTTACTTAAACAAACTGTACTTCAACTACCTTACATCCAGTCATCTTTAGTGTGCTCACATTAAAAGATTAAATAATAACAAATACATATTCTCTTAAGCCCGAGCACCCCCTTAAAGAGAGCTCTGCTCTCACCTAATACTACAGCAGCAACACAAGGAGAGTGCAGCTGTGATCGCTGGAGTTAAACGAGCTGAACTTTTCTGTGAAACTACAACACAGCAACCAATCAGGGACAAGTAGTAGGCAAGGCTTTTTTCTCCCCTCAAAATGGATTAAAGATAGAAATAATAATGTGTTAAATAAGGAATGCGCTCGAGGTGTTTAGGTGGCTTTAAAAAAAAAAGCTGGTTTAATGTAGTCCTAAAAGGATTGTTAATTCTCCTCACTTATCTCCATCACAGACCCTTGTCCTTCACTGCCCACTCCCCAGCATTGGTGCTTTCTGCAGGGGTAGATTTGGAGGATTTGGGTGACAGTCATCCAGACACAGCTGAACCAAAGTGGACCTTTTTTCTCTCTTTTTTTTTTTTTTTTACATCTTCAGAGCTTTTGGGGCTTTTCTAGAAATTCATGGTCTCCAATGGCGATTCAAAGGTTTCTCATAGAGAACAATTCGGTAGCAGTCTGTGATAAGTTTCACCTGTGCTTTTATTGTGAAATACAGTACCCACAGCAAGACTTTGACCGGAAATGCTACAAGGTTGGCATTGGTAATGGCATGTCCAATACAAAGAGTCTAGGAGGCTGTTGTTTATAATCATTCCACTTCCTAAAAAAGGTGAACATGCCCACAGTTACATTCAATACCAGCACAGGAAATTTAGCAGTTAAATGCGGTTTCTGTTCAAAATATGTTTGGATTGCTGAAAAAAAGACAGTCCTGCTAAAAGATCACACAGAGCCTGTACTGTAGTGTTATCACAGATCTGGTTTGAAAATGGCTAAATGAAAAAATACGAAATGAACAATGTTTATGGCCACATTATGGTATGTTTGCAGTTGCCAATTTAAGTTTTCCATTGGCATAACAGTTATCTGTGAAATTCTTAAAACCTAATGTTTTTTTTTTAACCTTATCCTACATGGAACAATTTCTGCTGTGTTGAGTTTTCATATTGCTGTTCAGCAAGAAACAAAAAAGACCCCCTGCACAGTTGGAATTAGATGCATTGTATTAGAACACAGTTGCATGTACTAAATTGTTGATGTTTAAAGGATAATGTATCTTTGCATTTTATTATTGCTTTGCAGTAATTTACCAACCTTTTTATATTACTTATTTGTCTTGGGAGGGAGGGGAAACGCACGCATTTCCTTCTGCATACTTCTAAACAATGTATCCATTTTTGTGTACATGCTTCCAATAAGCTTTACTGTGGTTTGTATTCCTAACCAGAGAATATATTTGTCTGTGGTGTAGGAATAGTTTTCATAGAAACTACTATAAAGGAAAGTGAAGTAAATGCAGAATCTATTTGATTATAACCGCAGTATAAAAAAATAAAACTTCTCGAATTCTATGGCATACAAACGAACTCGTATCAGGTCTGCAATGCAAGAGGAGCGTTACAAGGTTTAGAAAGCCAAAGTTTTCTTTTTTCTACGATCCGTGTATGGCCACATCTGATAAAAGTGGGGATTGTCATTTGACAAGACTGTTGCTGCATGCTGAGTGATGACGGCTACGTAAACCCACCTGCAGTAGATGTCGATGCGCGCGCACTGCTTCCTCCTAGCCTCGTCACAGAGGCTCCCGTCGCTTGGTATTTAAAACGCGCCCCTGCGCGCAGAGAGCCACAAGCATGCCTCGTCTCTAGAGAGGCAGAGCGCGTAGACTTGGAGACGCTTTGGTCCAGAGAGGGAGAGAACAGTTCAGCTGAACAGAGCACAGGAGTTGTATCCCAACTTTACTGCTGCAGGTCATTTAAACAAAGAGACCTTGTTCTCCAGGGTAAGTCCCAACCCGCATTAGATTTTTTTGTTTGTTTTTCCCTCTCCCCTTCTCTCCTCCAGCATCTGCGTTAATCATAGCTGCGCATTCCACTGTTATATGGCGATTTTGATGAGGAATAATTAAAGTAATCTAGAGATGGTAAGAACAGTTTAAGTTTAGTTTAGTTTTTTAATGTGCAGTGGTTCGAATTCTTTAAAAGTCTCACCATGACTTGTTGCTGATTAAAAAGGAAATAATAAAAAAATCACTTGATTAACGGGTAAAGGGAAAGCCCTGCGTATTTCTCCTCCTGTGCACATACGCAAGAGAAGACATCAGTCAAAAAATTTACTTTTGTAATGTATTTTTTTTTTAACTCATGACTTTTATTGATTTTTTTTTTTTTTCGGAAAAAGACTAGTTCTTTCTAAATATCTATATGCGCGACTGTCATACAAAGATGTACAGTATAGCCACATATCTGGTCATATATGCCGCCAGGCACTTGTTGCTCTTGGTATGTTTTCTTTTTTGCTTGGACTTGCAAAGATCTGAGTGTAAATGTTTCGGGCGTGAAACATGGAAATCCAGTTTTGGAGCCGAAAGTTCACATTTTTAACCGCTCACTCCTTCGCATTATATGGACATGAACTCTAAATAACGCACTTCCCAATGTTCTCTTAATTAAGCATTCCACCCTTTCTTTTCTTGGGTATAATTTTGTTTGTTTTTCCCCCCGCACTATTTCTCCTTTTTTATTTTTTTTTCTATAACATGGTGAGCAAAAAAAAAAAAAAAAAAAAACAGTTAAACATTTTAAAGTTTGTTTTCATATAACTGACTGTCCAGGGGAACAAGCCAAGAGAGGTCGACCTTTTGAGCATATGAAGTAAGTCTGCTCCTTGAAAAGTTGAGTAGAAAACTGATATCTGCTTCAATCCACGAATACGTGGATGCAACTGAGCAGGCCTTTCCTTTCTTTGGAAATAAATAGGAATAATTTCCAGTTGCTATGAAACGAATTAACATACAAACGACTTTGGGTTGTCTTTTGCAGCTACTCATGATGCTACTGAGTGCGGCAGTGATCTACTTCCCACTCCATAATTGTATTTTGTTATATAATCTTTCCTGTAATTTGTTATATGGTTGGATAAATTCCTTAGTTAATATTTGCTTGCTTATGATAGTGGGTTTTTGGTTATTTCAACCCCTAAATAGAGTCTTACCCAGCCAGACACGGCAGCATCCCCAGAGACCCGATATTCAGAACACCTTTCCCTTCCATTTCCCTATCCGTTCCAGCTGTTGTATCTCAGTGGGGTACAGGTACAAAAACGGGAAAGTAAAGGATCACAAGATTAAGTTATTCCAGCCAGAGTTCACATTATGCATTTTAAACGAGCAGTATATATATATATATATATATATATATATATATATATATATATATATAATATGAAAGAAAAAAAATCTCCCCGAGGCCACAACGCTTAGATATGTCGGTGTTTGAAGCTTCGAGTTGCCTTTAATAATATAGCTTCTCGCATCTACAGAAGTTTCTGTATTATAAACCTGTGGAGCCCAACTTTTCTGTGTTCTCGTGGTGCTGTTGATTATAAACGTAGAGTGTGACAGAACAGACGGCTCACACACAAGCTGCTCTGGAGGCAGAGCGCTGACCTTGGTGCTGAATTATTCCCGCTGCGGTCACAGTGCCTGCCCCCAATGTACCCACTGCTCACGCGGAGCTGCGGCTCTCCGGTTTCTCTGACACAAGGCACATTCCTTCCGACGCCACCCACGCGGCGAGCTGCAGAGATGTCTATATTTTTCCAAAAGTGAAAACTGCAATGCCTTCGAAAATTAACATTTTCGAAGGCATTGCAGTTTTCACTTGGATAGTGAAATCCATAGAATATGGATAGTTAATTTCAAACGCAAAAGGATCGTTTCATTGGTCTTAAAATATTTGCAAAAAGACTAATCAAGGCTAGCACAATTAGGCATTGTTTTAAGGGGAAGTTAAGGTAAACAAAGTCGCAATCGGGCATAACAATTGGGAAAAAAATACTTGTCAAGTCTATTTAGCCTCGGAAAATAAAGTTTGCATGGATTTGAGAGCAATACATTAAACTATAACAGTAAAAAGAGTTTCAAATATAAACATAAATGTCTGAAAGGATGCAGAAGTATAAAAAAAACTATTTGTTTTAATTGTTGGTTTATTCAATTATTTTGCAACTATGTTACTTGACTATTTGTCCCCTTTTTTGTAGCGTACTGGGGGGAGCGGGGCAGAAAACAGAATAGATTATGTAGGATAACTTGCATCTTGGATTAAGCCTTTAGAGACCAATTTAATAAAGACACTGGAAAAATATCTATTGCTTTTATCAAGTTGACTTTCAATTATTTCTAGAGATGCACCGATCTGATGCTTGTATTGCATATCTGTTCTGATACCGATCTAGCATTCCGATCCAATTATTTCATTTTATTGATATCATACACAGTTACCCAGCTGCAGCCTCTAGTCACTTGAATTCTATGTTTGAAATGCTGGTTACATAATTAGGCAGAGTAGCTAGTACAGATTCATATCTATAATTTCTTACCTTTTCTTTAACAATGTAGTCAAGCCTGATGCCTTTACTCACATTGTTAATAATTAATTACTTTTGCCCCATGGTTTCCATGTCTGTTAGAACCCAGAAAGTGCTTAATTTGTTCACACTGTGTGGACGCAATCACAAAAAAGCAATCGTTTAATAGCATTACTTTTTTACCTCTATTTTCAGTCCAAATTTTTAACCCGATGAAACACCTTGTTAATATATATTCTGTCCCCCTTCAAATGATCCAGCAATTGCTGATCATAACAGATTTGCAGGAATCTGGTTCCAGACCTGAGGACCAGAGAAACTGAACACCTACTAACTAACAACCTCGACAAGCATAGAGCAACAATTTTTTTTTCTCATATATGTATATGTATATGTGTATGTGTATATGTATATATGTATATGTATATATGTGTATGTGTATATGTGTATATATGTATATGTACATATATGTATATATAGCAAGTTGTACATTTGTGAAAATTAAATGTTGAATGGAAGCTTAATCAAAACCAGGGATCCACTCCTTAAAGGTGCAGTAGGAGATCTTTTCTGACGCATTTTTACCATGTGGCTTGAAGATCTCCCCACAGTCGCGTAGCAAGCAGTGAAATAGAAGGTATGGAAGTAAAACTAAAATAAATGGTCCCCGCTACAGTGTGAAATCAATGAGTAACATCCACCAATCACAAAACACGGTCAGTTATACACTATCGGTTCGTGACACGTCAATCATGGTCGTCTGCTTGTCCCTCCGCCCTGTGAGCGTACTGTACCCTGACACATGAATGAATCGACTCCCCCAATGCTCATGCAGGACGCCATGGCTGGAAGCTAGCCACTGTTATGCTACGTTCACACCTAAAGCAGCAAGAGCAGCGAAGGTGTGTGTGCTGCTTTACTTTTGATGCTTGTACAAGTTTAGTTCTGATGTGCGGCTGAAGCATCTTTGCTGCTCTAGCTGCACGGTCGAAAAATGGACGTTGGGTGGAGCTACCGTTTCCTTTCTTTGCCTGTGACAATGGCAGCTATATTTGCTGTGATCAGTGGGTGAAAAGTAGTTTCAATCTATTTTGAAGTGAGAAAGTCCACCTGAAACCATTGTCAGTGCAGTCTGTTCATCCAGATTACCATCCTGCCTTCAAATACTATTTCTGTCGGAGCCGCTCAGACCCCCGTACACCGGCTGTGCGCCATCACTAGGAATCACTTTCAACAGCAGCCTCTGACCCGGTTGCCTCCTCGCGGTTTGCCGCAGCGGCTGGAAGGCATTTTTCATGCATGTAAAAGCGAATATGTTTTGCTGGCAGAATACCGCATTTTAAGTTACTTTAGGCATTAATAATCTGTTTCAGAAGAGTGATCATAGCGCACTGCATCGTGCTGTGCCTGTCTCAGTGCCAGCTCCCAGATCAGCGAAGCGCTGCTCCTGCTGCTCGGATGCGCTGCTCCTGCTGCTCGGATGCGCTGCTCCTGCTGCTCGGATGCGCTGCTCCTGCTGCTCGGATGCGCTGCTCCTGCTGCTCGGAAGGGCTGCTCCTGCTACTCTAGATACACTGCAGACAGCATGCACGTTCATGTGTTTTGAAGGCGTGGTTTTGAGGGGTGGTCTGAAGGGTGAGGCATGGTTGTGTATGTTCAAAAATTTAGCTTGCTGGAACAGTTTTTCTAAGATCTCCTACTGCACCTTAAGTACTGCAATCCTGTAACTTTGAAATGCATGCCAACTATAGCACACCTCAATTAAAAGCTGCCATCCAAAATAATTTAGAGAAATTAAATGCTTTTAGACAAAATTTGAATAGACAATAATCCTTTGTTCTTTAACTAAAGCTTGTCAAATTAAATGTGCATTTTCAGAATTATCCTTAAAAAAAAACAAAATTGCAATTACCCAAAAACATTGACTGAAAAGACATGATTAGTCGTTCCAAACCAAATTACCTCTGTCTTACGAAGGTTCTGGAAATGCAGCTTCATCTATTTCACTTTAATGTTGTTCAGATAATTGAGTTTTAATTAGATTACAATCTATATAAATTATCCAAATGATGTTGGCAACATTTTAAAACACTGAACACATTGCTTACTATATCCGAAAGCATATTTTCCACTTTAATGTATAGAAAATCTTTGCCAATACACAAACATAGTAATTCTCTCAACATAAAGCAAACTTGCATTTTATCTCTGATGCTAAAGATTGTTTAACCATGAAAAGGTCATGTTTATCTTTAAATTACAGATGCTCTTTAAAAGAAATGTTGCTAGTAATGGAATTTGAGATTTCTGAATGCAAATCGCCTGTAATTAAATATTTACAGTATTACAATCTATATATTTGCTTTTCAAATGATTGCTGCTAATCTTATGTTTGCTGTGCAAACACATCTCTCGGATAACTGTGGAACATATGGTTTCCAGTTCTGCAGTTCTCTATTTCTTTTTCTTTTTGAGAGATTGAGAGATTTTCAAGATCTAATTGGTAGCCTTTAAAATGTACCTGTAAAAGAAAGGGAAAGCAGAGAATGTTTTTGAACCAGTTAGTACAGAGGCATTAAGGCTTCTGGACAGGTCTATGAGTTACTAGTTTAACTTGAATATCTTTGTTTCCTCTTTTTTCTTTTTTTTTTTTTTTTTTTTTTTTAGAACCTGAGGGCAATCGTGCAAGTGAGCATAAATAAACACACAGTCTCATACAAGCACAATGCAGGAGTCAGAGCCCACAGTCTGTCAGCTGCAGCCCAACATCATCTCAGTTCGCCTTTTTAAGAGGAAAGTTGGTGGCTTGGGCTTCCTGGTGAAGCAGAGAGTGTCCAAGCCACCTGTCATCGTGTCAGACTTGATTCGCGGGGGAGCTGCAGAAGAGTGCGGCCTGGTGCAGGTGGGTGACATCGTGCTGGCTGTCAACAACAAGCCACTGGTGGACCTCTCTTATGAGCGAGCTTTGGAGACTTTGAAAAATGTGTCCCCTGAGAGCCATGCTGTGCTTATCCTCCGTGGGCCTGAAGGCTTCACCACCCACTTGGAAACCACATTGACCAGAGATGGCCGTCAGCGTACGGTGAGGATCACCAGACCAACCTTCCCACCCTCAAAGTCTTTTGATCAGTGGTCCCCTCTCAGTGCCTACAGTCCTGGGCAGCAACACAACAAAGACCCCCAGCTGAGGGCCATTGAGAACCTGTCCTCTCCTTCCATCACCCAGACTCTCTTGCAGAGAGGAGGCGTGCCGGGCCAGGATGGAGGCCGTGGGGTTCTCCTATGCAATGGGCTGGAAGAGAACAACGACCTTCTAAAGGAGATTGAACCTGTGTTGCACCTCATCAAAAACAGCAAAAAAGAGATTAACGGAGAAGGCCAGCGGAATGCAGGGAGAAGTGATGCAGAGATTCAAGTGGCATGGTAATTTCCAATGTGATAAAACATTATTGATTGCTTAGTTCAACTGTGCATGTCCTGTTTTCTCCTGAAAGCTGATTACTGCAGTTGAAGTCCAGTTAGAATTAGACCTGAGACCCTTGAGCGAAAATGTTTTTGGCTTAAGGAAGAGCTTGCAACTGGTTTGCTTACTGAAAGAATTCCTGTTCATTGTGCCATCATGCAGTCTTTTAACAGCCTGGCACATCTGTGTTGCATTAACTGTTACATCCAGGCTGTCAGTACTATGACTCAGACTACAGTGGTGTACATAATTCATGTCTGCATGCCTCCAGTAAACCTCACTTAAAGTGACAGTATTTGCAATATATTTGTCAGCTGCATTTCTTGACTTGTTAAACCCATTATGATGGTTCCATTTGAAGTCTCTCATCTGTGTTACAGCTTTTCTTTACTGTGAAGCTGCTAAATGTGGTGGCAAAATCCAACAAATTTCAAATTTTTGAGGTAGCTTGTTAAAGAGAGTCTCAGTTCTAAAGTTTAGAGCTCGGTGGAGAAATGTCAAATCATTAGCTCAGCTGTCAAGGATCTTATGAGGATTTAATCAGGAGGGTCATAAATGGTGCACTTAAGTGTAGAATAACTGAAGTACTGTAAGTTTTAACAGTCCTTGGGGAGTAGGTTTTACAAGACCTTTCAGGGCAAAAAAAAAAGATCAATGTTTGTGTTTGCCTACATGATCTGCACAGGGTTCTGTTATTGGCATCTGGGTTATCTGCTTCTGCGATAAATTGTAATCGGATTGAGGCCGCAGTCTGATTATGATCAATTTCTCATTCTTAGCCAACCAATGCAAATCATTTTATGCCCATCATAAATATGATTTAATTTCCATGCTTAGGTTTGTTGAAGCACACTAAAACAATACTTTTAAATTAGTTTAGAGGAACTGGATTTGAACATTTCTGAAGCTAAAACTAAGCAAATTAATAACCAAACGCATGGTGTTGAGTGGTAGGATAAGGTCTTTCTTTGCAGGTCTTGCATATAAATGGCAAATTCCAGGAATGCACCAAAAGAGCATTTTTAATGCTTATTTAAGTTTATTTGATTACTTTATTTAAATGCAATGAAGCTGTTTAAGCCACACTATGCTAATTTTCGTTTTCTTTCCATCAGCAACACAGTGAGCTGTATCAGTTACACAATTCTACAAGAGTCCATTTTGATCGTTATACAAAGTATTTCAACGTCTGAACACTGATTAAATGTTGCTGAGTTTTTTGACCTTGTTTACAGAAGGTTTTCTTACACCTTTAAGTTTTACCGATTTTGCAGACATGAAAATAATACCACAGGATGTCCTTTTTAAGTGAACTCTCCTTTGTTAGTGGCTGACCATCTGTCAGAAGGAGTGTGTAGAGTGTGAAGAAAAAACAGGTTTTAAGTCTTTAAAAGTTGGTGTATTTCTTTTTTTAACACAATATATCAATATATCTTGTGTTGTCCTGTTTTGATAAGTGTCAGATTTCAAGATAACCTTTTCCAAATTCTTACACCAATTTTTACAGATGTTGCTATTGTATTGCATCTACATCTAGAAACACAATGTCCTGAATGCTGTGACCACACCCTTTTGGTAGTCAGGTGCTGTAGCACTCCTCTGGCCTTTTTAACCCCACGTAAACATCCTCTAACGAAGACTTTGTAACAAAACCAGACTAATACTAATCTACTTATGTAGGTAATTCTTGTGCATAATCAGTTCTCATCTCTCATGTCTCTGCTAAATTTAGTCTTTAAAGGAATCAAAATTTTATCTTTTACAGTTAAAAATTGAATAAAGAAAATGACCAAGATTACGGTGTAACCAGGTTCTTTAAAAGGCTGAGGTTTCTGAAACGCCAATATGTTTAAATAAAAAAAATATATAATTAAAAAAAAGTCAGTTCTATGACATTTGGTTTTAAGGATTTGGGCAATCAGTTTCAGTTTGAGTTGAGGTTAAAGGCCACATTTTTTTGCATGTCTAACAGGAATTCAGATTTGCTGAATACAGATGACAAAGATTTTTTTCAAATGTATTTGAGGGAGTTAAAGGAAATGACTATCTGGACACAACCTTGTGAGATTTTCCCCACATATATCTTGTTTAGCTTGACTACTATGATCTCCATATCCAGTACCTTTGTTCATAAAGGGGGGTCAATGACGGACCTCATACTGTGCTAGTGAAATTCCATTTTAGATATGCAAAGAACCATTTAGTCACAGCTTTACTATGTGTAGAGTTGCCTAAATTGCCAGCTATTAAATGTTACTTTCTTATTGTAATTAACTTCCTAAACGGGTTGCTCAGTGGGGCAGTGAGTAGCACTGCTGCCTTGCAGCAGAAGATTTGGGGTTCGATTCCTGTCCCGGGGTCTTTCTGCATGGAGTTTGCATGTTCTCCCTGAGCATGTGTGGGTTCTCTCCGGGTACTCCGGCTTCCTCCCACAGTCCAAAAGCATGCCTGTTAGGTTAATTGGTGTGAGTGTGTGCGTGAATGGTTGTATGTCTTGTTTGCCTCTGTGTTGCCCTGCGATGGACTGGCAACCTGTCCAGGGTGTACCCCGCCTCTCGCCCATTGACTGCTGGAGACCCCAATTGGGACAAGCATGTCAGATAATGGATGGAATCGTTTGAGTCAATGCCTCATATTTTTTTTTAAGTTTGTTAATTTGCACAATAGAAACAAAGCTTAGAAAATGTACTTTTGTGCCTTTAGTAGTTTCTTTAGTGCTGTACAATGTAGTGTCCAGCCCAGTATAATGACTCTACAAAAAGAGAACAATTCTGACCAATCTTACACTTTCAACAACAGAAAACTTTGTTAAAAGTGTACCAAGGGATGCTTGAATAACACAATTACATAAAAAAAAGGGTTAATAAATTATCCATCTTACAAATTCTTTTATGCCTTTCAGACTTTCAGCAATCTCTAAGTTATCTAACTAAAGGTTGTCTAGGAAATAGGAAGATCTCCAAGCTGTAGTTAAGCTAATATTTTTCTTGGTAGTTTTTCCACATTAGTATTTCGAATCAGCTTTTAAAGACCTTTTGTCAGGAACAGAAAAGACTGAAACAATGAACATTGCTTGTTTTCAGCCGGGGAGGAGGTATATTTTCACAGTAGGACGTCAGACAGATGATTCTCTGCGTCAGTCAGTGCTAATCTCAAATGACACATGCAACTTCTCCCATTGTTTGAGCCTGTTTGAACCCCAACTCTACTGCATTGGCAAGAATATGCTTTGCAAAATTGTGGCAATAACGGGATGGTACGTGAAAGGAAGTGTGAAACAGAGAAATAATGCCTGCAAGGATTGACAATTGGCAGCGACACATGCTTATGGCGATGGGCCAAGGGCAGATGGGTGGGGTGGGTGGGGGGGGGGGGGGGGGGGGCTTTTGGAGGCAAAATCTGGGTGGGCGTTTTAGTTGAGAACTAAACTTCACTAGGGGAATTCTTTGTGTGTTTTATACTGTGGCCCCCCCTCCTCCCAAAGCAAACACACACAATGCTTATTAGGCATCAAAAGCGGTTGCCTCAAACTGAGATACAGTATCATTATTTTGTACATTTCTTCCCTGTAACTCAAATATTAGTTGTAGTGTTATCCCAAATTATAATTTTCATACCTATTAGGTGAAATTTTGAATTGGCTTAAGGATACTTAAGTCATACAGAGACTAACTGAACACAACTAGCCCACTTTCCAACATTAAACAAACCTATGTACTTGTAACCTTCTTAAAATAAAAACAATGCTATGTAGGGGCTGTGTTTTTAGACATGATGAGGGATGTCATAATTTTGATAGCATGTTGGTGAGCACACAAGTGTTGTGTCAACTAACCCAAACCTGAGTATTGTCAAGTCTGTGTGTACCTTTGATTGTCTGGGTTTGCTTTATGTCGGGTTTTAAATTGAAATGAAATTGGTTTGCACAAGATCAGAGAGGACACACCTAATGGAAACCTTCTTTCTCTCTTCCAGGGATCTCGGGGTGGGAAATGAGAAATTCACGCAGCTGGTCTCAGATAACGACAGGGTGATGGAAAACATGCCAGTGGCAGACCACAATGCTGATATTGACAAGGTAAATAAAAGAATTGACAAAACATTAATTAAGCAGTAATATGAGAGTTTTTGTCCTATTTGGGTCCCGCTCACCAGCCCACAAAGTTTTTGTAACTCCTTTACATTTTTCATGTAACTGTAAACTTCAACACATGGGCTGCTGACAAATCTAGTGGTGTTGAGTATTTTGACAGCTGGGGTATTAAGTTTGTCAAGAAGATGGATCAGTCATATATTTAACAACTCTGGCCTTTGAGGAAGAGTTGAAAGACGCATAATGGAGGCAGCATTGTTCTGAGGTGATCTATTTCTTTAGCAGAGACAAAGAAGCTGGCCAAAGTAGATTCAGAGACCCTATTGAGGACTATACAAGGTGATCTTTAAAGATAACCTTTTAAAAACAGCAAAAGACAGGATATAAGGGTGGAACTTCACCTCCCAGCAGGTCAATGCTAAACACACAACCAGAGCTACGATTGGCTAGATACAGTGCATTCCAGAACTAAACATGCAGTAATTAAGACTCTGCAGCCAGTTCAATCTAAACAGGCACTCTGCATCAAATTAGACTGAGCATGACTTTTTTTTTTTTTTTACAAGGAAGAGGGAAAAAAATAAGAAAAAAGAATAAAATACATTAAAGTTTAATTGTATTGGCCGTGTTAAATTGCCTCTTGATCAAAGCACATAAGCATTGCGTCTTTCAAGTTCTGGGCTCTCTGAGCATTGAATATGACCTCCACACACAGGATCTCATCACGGGTTGGAGTGATGTGGGTAGTGTCACAATCTGCAATGCCACATTATCTGCACATTTCTGATGCTGCTGGAGTCGTCATCAATAGAGCCGGATAGGATGGAATATTTCCAGTAGACCCAATGAATACATGCAGCTGCAGAACTGTTCCTTCCAATCAATAGACTCCCTGCCTTCACTTAATCCAGCCACTTAGACCTGTGAACATTTTGGGAGAATAAGCGAGAATTTTTTTATTTTTTATTACCGACTGCAGGATGACGAGTGGAATGACTTAAGAATTCAACTTTTTACATTTTATTTTTCCCAGAATTGGAATAAATATGAAATATCTCTCTGTTGATAATCTTATTGAGCCTGAGTATTTTTAAGAAAGTGCCAGTCGAGTTTTTTTCCAACTGCCAGAATTTCAGATGACATGTTGAACTGCAATCCAGTTTTGTCTCTCAGACAAAAGATTTTTATTCTTCAGCTAAAGTTACTCCTCCATTATGATTCGTATGTAATCACTTTGCAAAACTATGATGGCAAAAAATTTCACCCGATTTCTGGTGACACTCTCAATGAAGAGGCTGCTGAAATCGGGAAATGTGACTCACAATCTTTTTTTTTTTTTTCTTAATCCTGAGAATCGCATTAATATTTAACAATGACAATTTCTCCTCTTAAGCTGTCTGTGTCATCCGCTTTCTATTGCTTCTCTCATTCCACCCCCACCATCTTGATTCTCATCATCTCAATTTCCTATGAGAAGTTTTAATGGTTGGGACGAGGAGCTTTTACTGTATAACTACATTTGCTGCAAAGACTTTGGAAATTATTTCCATTATGCCATTTTCTTCATCAGATTAACTGTTGTTGTCATTTCTTGTAAAGCAGACCCTCCCTCTACATCCGTACCTCACTTGTGACATCATTGTTTTTCAATTGATATCTATAGGGTGGGATGAGGGATGTTTAGATCAATTAGATACAGGAAATATAAAACGTAATTTTGAGTTGTGGTTTAAAGAAAAACAAGGAAACCTAGAAAAGGAGAAAAAATTTATTTTATTTATTTTATTTTTTTTTACCAGCAGTTGATGCTTAACTTGTCATTTATTCATTTTGCTTCAGGTCCACAAAGGTGTGGACATGCAGATTCATTTATAATAAATAGATCATAACTTTATGGGGCTGTTTTACCCAAAAAGAAAGGACTGGTCACTACATTCTTGCAGTTTTTATAAAAGACTAAAAGCATCAAACACCTAAAGGTAGTGCTCAAACAGCTCTTAAAGCTTCATACAAAATGAAGAATGGCTACAACAATCAAGTAGGAAAATTTAACTTCTGTTAATGCCTAGGATGACTAGGATGAGTAGCATCCATCTTATAGGAAGTCGGGTATCATCCTGTTGATGTCAGCGAGTATTCCAGTTTAAAAATTTCCAACAAAGTAGGAAATTTCAACTTCCAAGGATGGGTGGAATGCGTCACAAATGAGAGGCTTTTGACATCTTTAGTTTCAGGGAGGCTTAATGAGCAAAAGCAACACCTATAGCCGAAGTTTAAGATTTCTTTTAGGGGGGTCTTTAAATGCGAACACCAGTTTCATTTCAATAGCGATTAAACTTCACTGAACTAACTTAAATTTAATTTTACAATCCTTTGAAGGGTTGCTTGAGTAATGACAAAATTCTTGTCTCAGTGATTAAGCCTGTAACATGGCAGTAACACATTTTTCACTTTAAAAATGCTTTTTCTAGTTGGTAAAGTAATAATTTTTATTGGCTTATAATCATAAGTGGTTATATATAAGGATTTGAAATATTACATGAATTCAAACAAGTTTCATTTCCTAAAATAAGTGACAAAATGCTTTGCCTTTTCCATCAAATTGTATTTGTCATCTTGTCTGTCAAATATACTGTTTTCTCACCCCTCGTGGGGTGGTATGTGTCATCCTCAAGCTCGGGTCCTCTACCAGAGGCCTGGGAGTTTGAGGGTTCTGCGCAGTATCTTAGCTGTTCCTAGGACTGCGCTCTTCTGGACAGAGACCTCTTATGTTTTACCTGGAATCTGCTGTAGCCACTCTCCCAGTTTGGGGGTCACAGCCCCCAGTGCTCCAATTACCACTGGCACCACTGCTGCTCTTACTTTCCACATCTTTTCTAGCTCCTCCTTCAGTCCTTGGTATTTCTCAAGCTTCTCGTGTTCTTTCTTCTTGATGTTGCTGTCGCTTGGGATTGCCACATCTATCACTACTGCCTTCTTCTGCTGTTTGTCGATCAACACGATGTCTGGTTGGTTAGCCATCACCTGTTTGTCAGTCTGGATCTTGAAGTCCCATAGGATCTTAGCTCGGTCATTCTCAACTACCTTAGGAGGTGTCTTCCATTTTGACCTTGGGACTTCCAGCCCATACTCATGGCAGATGTTCCTGTACACTATGACAGCTACCTGGTTGTGGCGTTCCATGTATGCACTTCCTGCCTGCATTTTACACCCCGCTGTTATGTGCTGTATTGTTTCAGAGGCCTCTTTGCACAGTCTGCATCGGGGGTCCTGCCTGGTGTGGTAGACCCTGGCCTCTATTGATCTTGTACTGAGTGCCTGTTCTTGTGCTGCCATGATTAGTGCCTCTGTGCTGTCCTTCAGTCCAGCCTATACGCCGTGGTATACGCCGTGCAGCGGCTTGTCCCTCCATGATGGTTCTCCTTCCTCTTTCTTGTGTGTGTGTATGTATGTATATATATATATATATATATATATATATGTGTATATATATATATATATATATATATATATGTGTATATATATATATATGTGTATATATATATATATGTGTATATATATATATATGTGTATATATATATATATGTGTATATATATATATATGTGTATATATATATGTGTATATATATATGTGTATATATATGTGTGTATATATATATATGTGTATATATATATATATATATATATATATATATATATATATATATATATATATATAATATATTTCTGTTTTGACATTTAAATTCCCATTTGTATCTACTCTAGGTTGAAAATTCAGAGAACACTGACATTCAAAATCTGTTCATGTAAAAGTAATACTACCAAAGTGTCCATGCTGCATTTTTCATAAAATGAAATGCCAAAGTTTTTAGCAAATCGACAGCCTTCCTTTTTTTTTTTGGCTGTCAAGAAATCATGTTTCTGAAAATCTTTTGGGGAATTCTGAATAAAACTTTCTCAGCACTGAATTCTTCCAACATTTCTGTGTCAATCATGTGTCACTACTTAACCGTGCAGTGAGTCTTGCTGATGTTTGAGCCTGAACATACCATGAGAAAATGTCTTTGTCTTCTGTTCAAACCTCCAGATCACTTTTTGTGATTTTTTTTTTTTTTTTTAAAGCACAAAGACTCAGCCAGTCAACACTGTTGGTATTCTCTCCAGAAAGCATAATGATTGTGTTCCTGTTGCTCAGAACTGTTTAAATGTGTAATTAACAATGCTTTAGGAGATGATGAGAGAGCTTCAAGAAAGTGCCATTGATTACGCTGATCTTCGGCAATCACTTGCTGCTTTTCGCGAGGAACGTTTACTGTCGACTTTGGGGTTAAATTGCCTTTATTGATCAGTAAGTAGCTTGAGAACCCCAATCAAGGGAGAGCAGTTTTACCCTCGACTGTTTGGTGCTGATTGCTTTTATTATGGAGTAAAAAATGAAATGGAACTGTAAGAATGGAAAAATGTCAATGGTTTCTGTAATGGGCTTTACTTTCATAAGTCTCTGTGAGAGAGTCTTGAGCACAATGCAAAACAATTTTCTTCTGAGAAGTAAGAGCTGGGGTCCACACTGATTGCATGATGAAATGCATCCCTATAATGATTGTTTGTCTTAAACTCTTCCGTCAATGTCTATTTGTCTCGCTCACATTTGCTTCATGGCAGTTGGAGGGCTGTGTCACTTTTCAGCTTTTCTCAATGTGACTCCTGGTGGGAAATGGCTCACCCATCCTGCACCACTTGCTACAAGGGTCAGAGCCTATTAGTGTACTTACAGTTGTAATTCATGCAAATCTAAATGTCTGTGTGCTCTTTGCAGTCTACAGCCCAGGGCAGGACCTCACCCATTAAGTCTGTGCAAAATGGCAGCCCCTCCAAATGCCCTCGCTTCATAAAGATCAAGAACTGGGAGACGGGCACCATTTATAATGATGTCCTCCACCACGGTTGCAGTAAGGTAAGGCAGGAAAAAAACTCTTATTGAAATACATTTTTCATTGCTGCAACCACTAACAAAAACCTAACTAAGGGATGTTTGCTACCAAGGTCTAAGTCTATTTCTAATGCCATTATAAAGAATAAGTGTATGGATTCTGCCCCACTCTTTTTAAATGAAAAAACAGGTATCAAAAGTACAAAGGGAAACAGAAATGCCTCCACTGATGGCACAACTTGAATAACATATTTTTTAATGAAATTGGTATATCACTAGTTTTGTAATGTAAGTACATTTTAAATTGATAAGTTAATTACTGTGGTCATTGATGTAACAGGGTTTTATCGGTTTTTACATAATTCCTTTTCCCTTGTACCTTAGTTTACTTAACTTTGAAAGAAAAGGCTATCTTAGCCTTATCATTTTACATTAGCTTGTTTTAAGACGAGCCCATGGTGAACTGTCTTGCTGAAATGAGTCCTTATTGCTCATCTTAATCCAAAAGTATACATTTTGTATATTCCTATAATGAAAAAATCAAAGCTCTTCATTAAGTTTAACTCTACAGAGTTTATGCATGTTTTCCTCTTTATATGATGATTACGCCCCAAAGTGCTGCTATTTTCATCATACAGATAGACTTTGTTTGTATCAGAGCCCTCTAGTCAGATGTTTTTTTCATGTGGATGGGGTGTCTGCTTAATGCAGCTGCTGAAGCTAGCGGAGCAGAGTCTGAGAGGCAGGAAAACCCTGCAAAGCTCATAAGACGGACAGAGACTAATACAGTGTTAAAGATAACAGGTGAATTTGACTAGACGTTGCATGGCCACCTGTTGAAGTAGGCCTAAAACTGACCTGACGGACAAGGATGCATTAAATCTGCCAGTCTCATGAAATCCAGCTAAACCCAATAGCAGACCTGGCTTCTTTAGCTCTAGACGTAAAAGATATTGGTCTGCTGAATTGAAACCCAAATCATCCCTGGAGGGGATGGAGACCATCATCCATGAGATTGTTCAGCAGTTATTTATAGGGATGCACGATATTGGGATTTTGGCCGATATCAGATATGCCGATATTTTAAAACTCATGTAGCCAATAACCGATATCGATACCGATGTTAAAGCTGGACAAAAATAAGTAGTCATTGAAAATAGCAGTTTTGTTATCCATTCCTGACAAAATAATATACTCAAATATATTTTCATATCCTGATATCAAATTGATTTTTAAAAACGAGGTATCGATCTATTTTACTTTCAAAATCTTGTGAAATTTCATCGTTCTGTTACAAACTCTTGTGATATTTTGCAAATTCTTGTGAGATTTTGTTAGTAAAATAGATCGATACCACGTCAATATATCAACATATAAAAAAAAGGCAAAATTTCGTGAATTTTCGGGGGATTTCGTAGCATAACGATGACGTATAGCAATATTTCATTAGTAAAAGAGATTGATATGGTGTTTTTAAATGGCAATATATCAGCATATGAATTTTGTGATATTTTAATGTATCAATGTTTTTCCCTCGTCTTTAGAAGTTTTTAAGTCTGTAAAAAAGAAGTTTTTGAGGAAGAGAAAGAAGTAGTTGTTTTTTTTTTTTTTTGACTTTAGAAACTCAGAAGCTGATCAAATATCGGGTTAAATATCGGTGGGGTGGCCGATATCTGATATTCAGTTTTAAGGCCGATACAGGCCGATACCGATAGGGGGCCGATTATATCATGCATCCCTAGTTATTTACTAAAGAAACTTAATGCAGACAAGGTGAAGAGACATAGCTTACAAGGAAGTGGCATGATTTGGTCAATGCCCCCTGTTGCAAATGCAAAAGCTCCTTTTCCACCTCCTGGGATTGTTTTTTTTCTACGTAGTTCTGAATGAAGAAAGCCGAGAAGTGATTCTTCTGAACACAGAAATTAGATTTACAGTTCGGTGTGTATATCTGGGGAGTGTGAAGTATGAAAGGCTATACCAGCCGCGATTCGAATTTCATCAAACTGCATAACCTCTAAATTACTGAGTTCTTTTAGACCGACCATGTTCTATGGCTTCGATGCTGGCATCATGTGTTTCATCACAGGACCTGAAAGTCATAGTAATGGGGATCATCACAACAACAAAATAATGTCTGGTTAAAAACCATGCTGGATCTTATGATGACATCAAAGATGATTTGACCTTACTTTACTGGACCTGGACACTTTAGTCACTTTTGAAATTAAGAAAAAAGAAGACAATCGTATATTTTTCCAGTACCCTGGGATAATTCCAACATGGCTTCCCTCTTTTGCCTGATCAAATAACTATAGTTTTTGAAGATTTTCAACTAGTGCTGAAGGCTGAACATTAAATGAGCTTTCTGGGTTGATAAAGCGGTGTGCACGCTAACCACCTAATATTTAAGGGTAGCCTGTTGTGCCATTCCTTATTCTTGGAATACAGTCAGTATCATAGAACTAATGTTGATTATTATATGATTTGGTATAATTTGAATCAAAGGTCTGACTTCAGTCCCATGTTTTCTTAGGAAAATATTGAATATATGGATAGAATTGTATTTTTGCACTGCATTAAACTATCCCTAAGTTTACTTGGTTACAGCAATCTCATTGATAGAGTTTCTTTACCATTTGTGGCTTACCCTTCTAGCAGAGGGGGCTGATGATGATTGCTGATGATGAACAACAAATGGGTCAGCACACTTTCTCCCAAGCTGTGTTACAATTGAGATACTAAAATAAGCACACAACAAAACCAATATTGTTCATCTTAAGGCATTCCATTCTTGGTGGTTCTCTATATTACATAAAAGATGCTAAATAATTCTCCAAAACATTGGGACTAAAATGGCTAAAACCTTATAGTTGGCCATCGAATAGCATGATGACATATTTTGTCGTGCTACCAAAGTTTATTTTTTAGTATAGAATCTATCTACCCATGAATAGGTAAGCATTGCTGTTTTTAAAGCAAGCACTGCCCATTTGTAAACAGCAGCCAAATCTCTTTGGTGGCTTAGCAGATAGCCTGTCGTGTGCATCCCAATGAATGAGCTGTAATGGCATCTTCAGATTTATTATATATTACAGATGATCCGTCTTTTTCCAAAAGGACAGCTGGCTGGCATGAATACCCAGAGCAGTGTGATGAGCGGACGTGCTAGAGCATGAGTTATTCCTTTGTCTTATTTTTAACTCTGCTCATCCATTTTTGCCGTCACCTCTTTGTTTAATTGGTCTTGCTATTGCTTGTTGTCGGCTACCTTTTCCCAGCTTGATTTTTTTCTTTCTTATTCTTGAACATTTCTTTTTGTTTTCCATGTTTTTTGTTTTTCCTCATTTTGCTCACAGATGGATTTCATTCTTTGTATTTCTTGTTTTTTTGGACACACTTTTTTAAACTGTTGGCCAAGTGTCAGTGGGTGGTTTAGCTTCACAAGCCAATTTTGGATGTACTTGGGTCATAGTCAAATTATCTTTTTGCTAAAACCCTCCACTTCTGATCTTTGTTCTCCAAAGAAATCAAGCCTGCTGACCAATATCGATAATAATAAGCTGATGACACAAGGTTGCATCAAGGTTTCTTTTTTCCCCCATTGTAGCCATCTGTTTTTTTTTCTTTGCCTCTCCTTCTGTATTTCAGTCTTCAAGTCCTTGTTTTATGAAGCAGCAATATGACTCATAGACTTACTCATTCATTGACACACATACTATCCATTGATTATAAAAAAAAAAAAAAATGTAGCAATTCAGTGACTCGAACATTGAGTATAGGATTTAGAGTTAATAATAAAACAGATCATTATAGAAATGTCATCCAATAGTCTGGGTATGACTTGATAGTACAATGCAGGGTCTTGGTTCTTACTTTTTGGTCTCTGATTGGACAAGCAGTGACGAACTATCTGAGGTTTTGAACCTTGACGTATCTCCTTAGTAGGTGTCCTGAGGTCTTGTAACCGGGACATGTACAATAAGTCATATGAAAGGTTGAGAACTGAAGGCAGTAAAACTGTCCCAGCAGGAATTGCAGGACCACAAATAACATTGAGTTTAAGGTTTGTGCGCAAAGTTTTTTTTAAAGGGTATAAAGAATTTCAAATTTCATGTTTTTATTATCATTTCCTTTTGTTTAGTTTTTTGAATTTTCTGATGTTTAGCATTTTGGTGTACGCCACTCATCTGCCTACTTAATTGCAGATGCCAATCTGTAGTGAAAATGTCTGCATCGGTTCTGTGATGGTGCCAAACCAGCATGCACGCAAACCAGACGAAGTTCGAACCAAAGAGGAGCTTCTTCCCTTGGCTGCTGACTTTATTGACCAATACTACACATCTATTAAAAGGCAAGTTAAGCTTTTAACGGAAAGCAATCTAAACCAGTGAGATTTCATAGTGTTTGAATGATTAACTTAATTCGATTTTCATCTAATTCTAATGATCTAGACAACAAAATGGGAAATCTGTTGGCATGTCACACTGATAATCGGTGCAGAAATACAGCAGAAAATGTTTTAACTAAGTCACAAAACTGATCTCAACTTCATTTGATCCCATCCTAATTACATTTTTATCTGAAAAAAGACACTTTCTTCCTGAATTTTTTTTTTTCATTTCTGAATTTATGCATCATCTAAAGAGATCTACAAATTTTATCATAGCATGCAACTTTTTACTTTAAATTTTTTAATAAACAGAAAACTAACAGGAAAACTAAAGCTCAACAGTAAAATAGTCTAACCTTTTCTGGGACTATATTTTCTTTTACATTTTCTGTTATTTACTGGCTGTTATACTTCTATTTTCTATCGTACTTGCCCTTAACTTTTAGAGTTAAGGGCAAGTTAACATTTCCACATTTGCTATAAAGTTTAATTTTACATATACAGGCTTTATGCTTTATGAAAACATTGCAAAAAAAATGACATTTAAAGTTCAGAAGAGGAGGCAACTATCTTCTACATAGGCTGGTATTATTTTTTTGATGAAAAAGGTGTGTTTTGCTTGTGCAGAAATGAAAGAAAAATGAAAAAAAAAAGGTCAATTTTAGGCCTGACATTGATTATAACATGTTACCAATCAGACACCTGCTTTTAGAGTCTTGGTTATCCAATTAAGTTCTGGAATATTTACCAATTAATACATTACTTTGCTTCTTTTTAGGCACAGCACTCATGAGGGACCAATGTTATCAATGTGTCAAGATATTTTCCTTTTTCACAACCTATTACTTGGTTTGACAATGCCAGATATGCTCATAATTTAGTATTCTGTTTGGTCAGTTGTGATAATTGTTTCCCTGTGCCTCTCAGGTATGGCTCCAAGGCCCATGTAGACAGGTGGGAGGAGGTGACAAAAGAGATTGAAGCTTCAGGAACTTATCAACTGAAAGACACTGAGCTGATTTATGGAGCCAAACATGCCTGGAGGAATGCTGCCCGGTGTGTGGGACGGATTCAGTGGTCCAAACTACAGGTTGTAACCAATATGTCATGGATTATGTGTCTTGTTAGTGGAAAAACCTTTTGCTTGTCATTTTAGTTTTTGCCAACAGCAAAGCAAACAAATATGTTTGGGTCCTTTTACTTTATTCAGGTAAATAAAGAGAAGGAATTTGTTAAAAACCTGCCTTAGCCTTAAAATAACATGGTATTCAAACAGCTCTGTCCATAAGATCTCAGGATTATGCAAAAGCCAATGTGAAGAATGACATTCATCCAAAACTTTACTGTCTTCCAGAGAAAGCTAAAAGTGAACACAATGAACTAAAATAAATTGTCAAAACGTATTTTAACACTTTACCACCATTACTGTAATAGAATAGTTTAGCGTTAATTTCAGTTTCTTGGCTTTTAAGTAATTTAGAATGAAATATAGTGGTATAAATAATGTACTCACCCCTCTAGAGAAATAAAAGAATATTTCTTTTTTCCATAGAGGCATTCTAAAAAATATATATATTTTTAAATGGCTAAAAGTGTGGTGCACCACCGACCAGTAGGTGTGGACAGAGCAACATTTTTCTCTTTTTTTTTTTTTTCCACATACTGATTTCACAAACACCCCTTCATGATGAATTCCAGTCATGTTTTCACTTGGATATACTAACAATGTCTAAAGATTGTAGGCTAGGAGTAACAGTATGGCTGCCATCTTGCCTACAGACAAATGATCTCAAGATTAAAACTAGCACTTATCATTTTAGGAAAAATCTTGAGAATTTCCTGAACATTACCTCAGTAAAAAAGGCTTTTTAACAAAGCCTCTTAGACCTTAACAAAGCTCATCGAAGAAATTTTAGTTTTGAGGAGGACTTACAGTCGGCCAACAATTGTTCAATCAGAAGATTAAGGAAACAAAAGCATTGATAGAGATTAATAGTATTTAGACAGTAACATGTTTTTAATATTTAATGTTTGAAAAGAATTTGGGGGGAAAAAGTTGCAGCAAAAATACGTACATAAATACATACTTTGGATAAGATAAATGAAAACCATTTATATTCTATGCACATGAAGAAATAGATGTAAAAGATGTGAGTGTACATATTTGTATCATACAAGAATCGTATCCATAGCAGTGAATGATTGTCTAGTAATTCCCTTGTGAACTGTGATCTCCTCTCTGGATTTGAAAGTACTCAGCTTTCTGTGTTAAACGAGAGACAACAATGCACTGAGAAAAAGACAACAATGAATTTTAAAGTCTGCAGCCCCCACTGTTATACCTGGACAAAGTCATTTTAGAAAACATATCTATTCCTCTATCAGAGCTTTGTAAACAGAGGCACGCTCTCTATTGATATCTAGGAGCACTTTTGTGTTGGGTTTTATTTTCTTTTATCAACTGATCATCTTAGAGGACAGTGTCGCACTTAACAGAGTCAACAACGTCTCCTCAGCAAGAACTTAAGTCAATTGTTTACTTAGTCAATCTAAGCAACTATCCACCTTATTCTATCTATAGCTCTTTGTTAGGAATGATTTGACTTGGATAGGAACTTTCTGAGAATATGAACAAGATCTTTACTTTTTCTGAGAGTTAGGACTGTAGTAGTTATTCCACAATTATGCTAAATCTGCAGCAGACTTACTACGGTGCCATAGAAAGTGTTTCTGTAGTTTAAGGTCTGAGTAGGGTTTTTTTTTTCATAATTTTTGTTTTGCAGGTTTTTGATGCCAGAGACTGCACAACAGCCCATGGAATGTATAACTACATTTGCAACCATATCAAGTATGCCACCAACAAAGGCAACCTTAGGTAAAACCACATTTAAGGTTTATACTTTTCTTTTCAGCCCTTCTGCTGTTGTAGCTCTAGCCCTGTTCTCCCCATTACATTTGATCCATCTGTCACTCCTAGTAGCTCATCACCCTCCTCCATATCCGACTACCCCGACTTGCCCCTTATGTCCCATCTGTCAACGTGCGCTCTGTCTCTTAACGTCGTATCCGACACTATCTGCTGCCTGTCTATTTATCTGTTGGCGCTTCAGCACCAATCATTGCCCGACTGGTAAGGCGGCAGACCTAGCTAACAAGCAGTCATTTGTCAGACCCCTGTGCTGCCCTCACACACTTTCTGCCAAGTCCTAATCACATGTGACATCTCACATTTACTACTCATATGATGGATGAATCCCGACTCATTACTACAAGTCCCCTGGCCCTTTGAGAGCTGATTCAGATGAACATGTCAGAAAGAGGCGCCACACAAGTCAGACACAAATTTGGGCTGGTCTGCTTTAACATTGATCAATAAATATAACCTCAATTTGAGTTTATTTTTCTTAAGTCCCAAGAAAAAAGGTTTAAACGTCGGTTGAGGATCTTTTGAAGCACGATTGTTACATTATTTTCCAATGTCTTTATCAAATTTAGGGAATGGGATGCTAAATAACTGCATTAAAGAACTGTTGCTTCAATTTTTATGCATTTTATTATATAGATGGAAATTATTCTTATTCAAATGTCATCTTTACTGGCCCAGTTCCTCGTCAGTTCCAGTTGAATAAAAGGAAATCCTGATTTTTTTTTTTTTTTTGGTCCCCTGCCAACTGATTCTTGAATTACCACAAATAACTGATAATAGCATATCTTTTATCCAAAGAGAAATGTCTGTAAATCCCTACCATTACTACTTAGTGCACATCTGGCCCAGACTCAGACCAGCCGCTCAGGCAATCCATCACACCCTTCTCAGTTACTCACGACCAGCTTACCAGCATTAACAATCTCACCCCGTAAAGAGCATTAAAACACCATTGCGATCTGGACTGAGCAGCACATAACCAGGCTTGTATGGTGTCATCAATGTTAATGGTCTACTTGATTAATGTAGCACTTGGATCACCTGATGTACTATTCCCTTACCTTAAACTTCAAAAAAACGGTGTAAAGATCACACTAAAGTACAGGGATGTCACCAGAGGGCAATTTATAAACTACATTTCTTTTTTCTGGTGTAATCAGGCATTTCTAGATGAGTAACTGTTAAAATGGCCCTTCTGCCTGACAGTTATGGTCAAGTTGGTTTAAAATTTTAACGCTTGCCTACACAAAAGCTCTGTAATGTTCTCTTTATATATGAGGGAAGTGGTGGCCGAGTGGTTAGGGCACTGGGCTTGGATCCCAGAGGATCTGAGTGCAAGACCCTCTCCCATACAGTAGACTGCCACCCTGGGTCACTGAGCAAGATCCTTATCCCCCACACTGCTCCCTGGGCGCAACACAATGGCAGCCCACTGCTCCCCAAAGGGATGGGTTGATCACGCAGAGCGTGAATTTCGTTACTTTGTACCTGTGACAATGTAATGACAATAAAGCTGAATTCTATTGTTATAGCACTAGATCAACACAATGCACAGTTCATGATTTTTATTTGAAGCACCCTTTTTTAAGTATGTGATATTTTATCTTAGAATCTCAATATTTTATTGGCATTAAAAATGCCATCTTTCTTTTTGCAGGTCTGCTATTACCATATTTCCACAGAGGATTGATGGTAAACATGATTTCCGTGTGTGGAACAGTCAGTTGATTCGATATGCGGGCTACAAACAGCCTGACGGAAGTATTCTGGGAGACCCTGCTAATGTGGAATTCACAGAGGTACATATCAGTTAGATACGGTTACAAAATGTCACACCTCTTTGGCCTCATAGGCTAAGATTTTGTACATTCATCCCTAGATCTGCATCCAGCTTGGGTGGAAAGCACCGAAGGGTCGATTTGACGTCCTTCCCCTTCTGCTGCAAGCCAATGGAAACGACCCAGAGCTTTTTGAGATCCCTGAAGACCTCATATTGGAGGTGCCTATCATCCATCCAAAGTAAGTTTTTCTTTTTCTCTTTAAAAATTCTTAAGATGCAAGGAATGTAACAAAAATGAGAACAGAAGAGGCTCCACAGAGGGATATCCACCCACTTGCATATCTTATAACTACACTTCTCAAACAATGGACTAATTTCATGCCAAGAAGGCTGATTGGTTATTGTCACATTCCAACTGTGCCTATTATACACTAATAGCACAACTAGAGCTTGTTTTTATTTATTTATTTATTTTTATTTTTTGTGGCACCCATGGGACTTGTGGGATTTCGAGCTTCATATCTCTTATTAATTTGTTTACTTTTCCTGCCACAAAAAAAAAAATTAAAGCCAAAAGCCACAAAAACCTTGGAGTCTTAATCATTAAGCTGCACTTTCTCGGTGGCATTGTAATCACACAAAAAAATGAAATAAAACTCTGGTTTTGCAGCCATTCACAAATACAAACAGATGCATTCCAAGCCACAAAAGCATTGTTAAACACTACAGAGTGTTTCAAAATCCTTTGACACATAAATCAGCCTGCCAGACTCCCCCAGATTTGGCTTTATTTTTTTTTCCGTACGCATGTATTAGCTGGCCCTTAGCTCTGGCAGCAGCTTGGCACAAGCTTCGGCAGCCCATCGTATCTCATCATTACACAAGATTAAACCCAGCACTGCAAATAATAGCCTGAAAGCAATTCTATCAATCCCCCTAAAGGTTTCAAGAGGCCACACTTCCTTTGGACAGTACTAAAAAGCCTTAACAATGGGCTTCTTTTTGTTAATGCTAGTTTTGAACACATTGGTTTTTGCTCCATGTCTCCGAGGCACTTATACCGGCTCCTAACAATTCTAGTGATTGAGCGTATTGCTAGTTTGGCAGTGGATAATGGAGTGAATTATCTGACGTAACCATGGTCACCATTTTTCCCTTCTGCTCACTTCTCCCAGGTTTGATTGGTTCAAGGACTTGGAGTTGAAGTGGTATGGCCTCCCAGCAGTTGCAAACATGCTGCTGGAGATTGGTGGTCTTGAGTTCACAGGATGCCCCTTCAGTGGCTGGTACATGGGCACAGAGATCGGCGTGAGGGACTTTTGTGACAGCTCACGCTACAACATTCTGGAGGTAACATTCTTGTGTCAGAAAAAAAAAATCGTCATGTGACATTAGATTCAGGAAAAAGAACTGAAGGGACAGATTGACGGTAGCCTTGTGTCAAGATGAACATGTGTTGTTACCAAATGAGCCAAATGCATCAAATTATCCTTGTAAGCATGCGTAGGGTTTTCAGTATTTTATTATCTGTGGGATGTGGGCTTTATCTATCATAGATACATGGATTTGCCTTTAAAAGCCATAAAGTGCAGCAAGGGGGAAAAAAAATGTCCAGACCTTTGTATATAAAGACTTACACAAGTAGAGATGAGCGTTTTCAAATGATTCAGCCTATATAGGAGTGGTGCAATTTTGAAGGGCACTTCAAGATACACGGGTGGCCAGCTTTTATTTGTGCTGTAACTAAAGTGATCGATTTGTGGTGAAGCCTTACAGTTTGAATGTCCTTTGGCTTTTTTCTTAATTTTTTATTTCATACAACGTTAGAGGAGGATTTTCTAAATAGGACAACAATGTTTTTTGCTTTTTACTTTTTAACATTTTCTTTTTTAACAAACTGTAATACTGAGCATCATTTTTCCATTATTGGCTCTAAAAAATGGGTGAATATAACCCAAGATTATATAACAATAACTAAATCCTTTTCCTTTTAATTAAACGAAATTTTCACCAAAATGTGAAAGCGAACTCTAGAAAAGAAAACCACTTAAAAACAGGAGGATTTTTTGCTAGTTTGCTGAATAAAGAGTAAATATAACACCAGTGACCTTGGAGAGACAAACTGAAAGGTTATCTGTCCTTTTTTTGTAATTCCACTCTAGTGGGTTATTACCATTCAATAAAAAATATTTAAAAATGTGCCAATTTTTCCAGACATTCCAACAACCCCCCGATGTAAGACGGAAATTCTCCTGGTATTTGCAAAAAATCCCCAAAAAATATTTGTTGTCCTACATCCTGTAAGTTCAGAGTCCACAACAGTACAATTAGTAAAACAATTATGTTTATATGGAATGGTTGCCAGAAAAAACCTGTTCTTCATGGTGTATGAGTTCATGGTTTAGCAAAGCAGTTGCCTCTTAAGGTACAAAAACTCTGGAACCATGTTATTTAGAAACAACAAAGCAGAATTATTTAATAATTTGCTGATACCTATATATAATAATGACAAACTCAGTAAATCAACACAAACTCTCATGTCAACTGTATTGTTTGGGGAGTCTGTGGTTGGGCTGGTTTTGCAGTCCCTGTATTGATGAACATTTCTATAAAACCATCTAGTATTCCAAAAAATTTTAAAAAGAAAAAAACAGTCCACTCTATAAAGCCTCAAACTCAACGCTATTCCTGACATTTTGAATTGAAAAAGCTTCCTGGATGGACAGCGAAACATCTTCAAACTTGGAAAGTCCAGTGGTGTGTTTTTATAACATTGTAGGGATGACTATGAGCTGGATGACTGAGAATCTTCACCAGCATAAACCATCGAAACCAACTATGACTAGTATAGTATTGAACCTTGGCCTGAACTTTAAAATGATCTCATACTCATGCTCTAGTTAAGAATTTGTCATTGACTATATTAGAGTAACATGACTGTAAAAAACAAAAAAAAAACAAAAAAAGGCTCATACCACACATCACATTCAGGGATAGCATAACAATCAGAATCAGAAGTACTTTAATAATCCCAGAGGGAAATTAGTTTACAGCTAGCATCATAAAATAAACAAAGAATATGACTATACTGTACAAAGGAAGAACACTATAAACCTGATGAAGGCTTGAAATTAATGTAAATTTTCTGACTGATATCTTTAACATATCTTCTGTTTGTTTTTTTTACATATATATATATATATATTTTTTTTTTTTTTTTGTGCATTATCAATAGTTGTTGTTAATAAATTGTATTTTAAAGTTTTAACTAGCATTCTGTATATATGTGATATCACCCTAACTCTATGACCAGAACTGCATCATTTTTAATCTGCATGTGTAAAATTCACATCGTATGATAAAAGATCTACGCTTATAGATGTTGACAATGTATAGAAATGTTTTAGGTTTATATCAAACTCATCAAAGAGAAGCAATAAACATTTAACACACACACACACACACACACAAACACACATCCTTACACAACCCACACACGCACACACAACTTTCCAAAGCTGTTCAGTATCTATACCACAGAATTTAAATGTTCTCTCATTTATCCTTGTGCTATGTTTTGTAGGAGGTTGCCAACAAGATGGGCTTAGACACTAGGAAGACTTCTTCCCTCTGGAAAGACCAGGCACTTGTGGAGATTAATATTGCTGTTCTCTACAGCTTTCAGGTGATTGCATGCTTTTTTCACCAAAAATAGATTTAAAGGGAATAGAAGGTGTGTTTGCCTCTTGGGACAACAAAACCTTTTGTCATATTGGATTCTCAGCAAGTTCCTTGTTTACAAAGGTAATCTCTTCATCACAGAAAGGGTGTTTTCTATATATATGACCTATAAGTTGTAAACAAAGCTTAATAAAACTAAAAATGACATTTGAGCTGCTATGATGCAACACAATCATAGGATATTTAACCAGCAGACTGACTCTCCAGTTTACATGTTTATTTACCTGTCTTTACCATTATGTTAACTCCTGCTTGCTTATATAAACAGATTTAGAGGTGCTTAGTCGATACTAGTTTAAGTTGTTTTCAGTTTGTTTTTTTTTTGTTGGCAGTGAAATTCTTCTTTGGGAATTTTAGTTGACAAAACAAAACTGGGTGAGATAACATGAGTTTTGTACAAAAATCTGATCCCTTTATTTTAATATGTTTTAAATATTTTAGTGACTAGGTCTTCTAAAGGCAAGTGGTTGCACTAAAATTAACTTATGTGTGAAATTATAAATTTAGCTTTTCTTGGAAGGCCTTGGGTTTAAAGGCTGTGAAATAAAGTATTGTAAAAACCCAGAAACACAGCAGAATGCCATTTAGGTTTAAAGCAGGATTAGAATGAAAACTATATCCATACAGTTAACCTATTCATCAAGCACAATTTAGTTTTCTAGATCCTGAAAACTGTGGTGTCTTTGGAGGAGCTGCATACTGTCTAATTCACTTTTCAAGTAAAGCAGATGGTGAGGACTGCAGGCATTGCACTCCAAAAATCTGATTATTGTGGAAAAGTGACTGAAATTTGTTGCTAAAGGAAAGCAATAGGAAGTCTATTTTTTCTTTATTAAAAGAAACACAGAGAACACCATATTACAGAGACAACAAAGCATTTCATCAAACTAAATCTTTTGTAGATGGTAAAATGCCATCGCTGCATGTAGCTTGAGATGCAATGGTCTCCATGGTAAATCATGGCAGTTACAGCATTATGCATCAGGGGGGTGCAAGGCTTTGCGTCAGCCTAAAAAGGAAATATTTTGTAGTGTGTTGATAAAGGATTGGCGCTAAATCAAAAATGACTATAGGAAAATTGCTGTCAAAATACAGACTAAAGTGTATGTCAATACTAGTGGGAATACTTGAACATTAAATCTTTTCAGCCAAATATGACTCGAATTCTGCTGTTTTACAAAAAGTGTTAATAAAAAAAAAAAAAAAAAAAAAAAAAAAAAAAAAAAAAAAAAAAAAAAAAAAAAAAAAGTCTGCCTGTAATGATGATAATCTGGTAAAAAAGTTCAATCCAAAAACAAGAAGTGTATATTTTTTATATAAAAAATACATAGAGAATATATATATATAATGTTTAATCATCTTAATAAATTTTTAACGTCTTTGACCCATTACATAAAACCCTGATAAATCCCAGCTTTAGTTTAGATGAGTTTATGGTTGCAGTTAGGGCTGCAATTAGCCATTATTTTGGAAATTGATTAATCTGTTAACTTTTTTGATTAATTAGATAAGCAAAGATTCTTTAAAGAAGAATCTCTACGAAATCAAACCAGGTGAAACTCAAACTTCTCCTCTTGAGGAGTTCTGGATAGAGTATATTGACAGATGATTTTTTTTTTTTTTATCTTAAATGCAAAGTGTTCTTATATTTTATACAATCTTGGTAAAGTAACTGCTTTAAATGGGTTGCTCTGTCAGTTAAAGGCATGTTTTAGACTTTAAACTCCAGTTAAGGATTATTCCAATACTAATTAAGTTGACCATTATTTCAATCGTTTTAAAAATTAACTATATAATAATTGGATTGATCATCATTATAATTAATCTACTGTTTCAGCCCTAGTAAGGGCCCTAAAAGAGCCATTTTGTTTGTGAGGCCAAATGCCATGTTTTTTTTTTGTTACCAGTTTTTACAATCTTTGACAACTTTTTCCTGAAGGCTGGACTTGATTGGGCAATTCAAGCAGAGCAAACTGTAGTGAGTGAAGAAGCTTATTACCTATATTTTTAAAGCTTTGGGTTTTGTCATAACAACTTAGAATAAGTTGCTTTGTTCACTCTTAAATGCATTTAAATGAAAAGCATCCCTAAGCTTTTGTGTATCATTCTTAATCTAGTGATTGGCTGATGTGCCTTTCTAAAAGTTTCAGCCTGAATGTTGGGTTGTCCCCTGGCCCTCCTTCAGGTGACACGTTCCTGGAACACCTCCAGAGCCAGGTTTACACTGGGCATCCAAAAAAGATGTCTGCGCCACCTCAGCTGACTCCTTTTAATGTGGAGGTTAAGTGACACCACTCCGCAGAGTGACAAAGCGGGAGTGGTGGGGAGTGGCGGCCTAGTGGTTCCATAGAGCTTGGAATCCTGAGGTTCTGATTTCAAGCACCACTCCCACAGATAGCCACTCTGGGTCTCTGAACAAGACCCTTAACCCCACACTGCTCCCCAGGCGCACAGGATGGCAGCCCACTGCTCCCCAAAGGGGATGGGTTAAATACAGAGGTAAATTTCTGCAATGAGAGATCAATAAAGTTCCATTATTATTAGCCGCTTGTATCAGGGATCTCATGTTTTTAGGCCATGATCCAGATTTTATGGTCATAGATGAGGGTAGGAATATCGACAGATATTACCTTTTCTCTCAGCTTTTTCTTCATCAAAATCTATCAATCTCCCACCTCATTCGCCCCTTCACTCTAACAGAATCCCAAGATACTTGATACTCTTCCTCTTGAGACACTCTGAGGGAATTTCTTCCACCTGTAAACTTTGTGCCTAGCTTTTTGTGGTATTTTAGTTGACATTTTTTTCTGCACCCTAAATGGAAATAAAATTACTTTTCCTTACCCTTTTTTTTATACATGTACCAGACCTGCAAAGTGACCATTGTAGACCATCACTCAGCCACAGAGTCCTTCATGAAGCACATGGAGAACGAGTATCGTGTGAGAGGAGGCTGCCCTGGAGACTGGGTGTGGATCGTGCCTCCAATGTCGGGAAGCATTACTCCAGTTTTTCACCAAGAAATGCTCAACTATCGTCTTACACCTTCTTTTGAGTACCAGGTGAGGAAGATGAGGGTAAAAATAACCCTTGCAAACCAAAGGTAGCCGTCAAATTTGTGAAATTATCCAAATGAAACTGAGTCTTATCTCTTTTCTATGTGCAAAAGCCTGATCCTTGGAACACCCATGTGTGGAAAGGAGTCAACGGGACACCCACAAAGAAAAGAGCCATTGGATTTAAGAAGCTTGCCAAGTAAATATGCTTACTTTTATTGTTTTTTATTGGCTTATTCACAGAGCCAAGTATATGTTGCAGCAATGTCAAAGATAATAGAGTTTGTGTAAAGCTAATTTAAACAAGTAATCACCTTCCTGATAAAAGCAAGACCCATGAAACGGAGGCTAATGTACTCAGCAGTGAAATTCATCCAATCAACCCCTCTGGGAGTAATCAGCATTCTGTCAGTTTTTCTTGGTCTATGCATGCGCTTGTGTGCATGTATGAACTGCTATTAATATAATTGCCTCAAGGAAAGTACAAGGTAGGTAATCAGAATTGTCACCCATCCGTAGCTACCTGCAGTAGCAGCTTAACAACAATTGCCTTTGGATCATTGCAGGAGAAACAAAGACTCCACACTGTGCCCTAAAATCAGTTTACCTTGCATGGTTCAGATGCTTGCTCTTTTTGTTGTCTCATTCACTCCAGCTTTCTCTTATCTCCTCTACAGGGCTGTGAAATTTTCAGCAAAGTTAATGGGGCAAGCCATGGCCAAGAGGGTTAAAGCCACCATACTGTTTGCCACTGAAACGGGAAAATCGCAAGACTACGCTAAAACTCTCTGTGAAATTTTCAAGCACGCCTTTGATGCCAAGGTACTCTTGCACCTGCCTTGCATCAGTGGCTTTAATGGTTGAGCTAGATTTTATGTTAGATTTCAGCAATTCTTGACTTTAAAAAGGAAAACATTTAACCAACTCTTTTTCTCCCCGCATTGCCTTATTCAATCATTTAATTGTTTAATTGAATAAGGTCATAGAAATGCAAGCAAAGGACAACTAATAAAAAGTGAAGAAAATGGTTTTTATTTCAGCTCTTTGAAGTGCCACTGCTCAGAGCCAATTTTACTCACTGAGGCATTGCACATATACTAGTTTAAGACAACATCCTAAAGCATTCCTGGCTGTGCAAATCTGTTAAAAGAGCAAAAGATGCTGCTCTCAATCATGTACTTGGTGCATTTCCTCTAGGGTGCATCTTAATTCTCCTTCCTGTTTTTGTAGTGTGATCAATTACACAAGAAGACACTCATGCATGCAATTGTGCGTCAGTGGGAGTGGGTGTGTGCAAATGGAGGGCAGATGTGAATGCCAGGGGCAAACCTTTGTTGCGGGCTAAAGCCTGTTTCCTCTTCACGCCTTTTGCTTGTGCAGCATTGCGTTTGTGTGTGTATGTTTGTGTGAGATCCAAGCTCAGCCCATGGCAGACACGCACCATGCTGAGCAGTGTGCATCATGGCTGCTCAATGTGTGTGGCAGCAGCATATTATCATCTCGTTAGAGGCGAAGACAGAGTGGTCATTACAACCTACTCGTTTGCCAGCGGCTGTGTGTTCAGCCCTAATTTACAAGCTAAAGGCATCTGTCAAGTGATATGTGAAGAGAGAAGTGAGATGAATCTGGAACATTTTGGTAGCTGAGATTCCCTCTTAATAGAGATCCTTGGCTCGCAGGTCATGTCCATGGATGAATACGATGTGGTGGACTTGGAGCATGAGACACTTGTTTTAGTTGTAACCAGTACATTTGGCAACGGGGATCCACCTGAAAATGGAGAGGTAAATATCCAATTCATCAAAGGTCTTGTTAAATGATATGTAGGAAGAAAAAAAACCTCTTTTACTTGTTGGGGTAGAAATTCGGAGCTGCCTTAATGGAAATGCGCCACCCCACCTCCAACACAGAGGACAGAAAGTAAGGACACTTATGTTCTTTTTTTTTTTTCTTTTGTGTTTAAAAGAAAAACCTCTCTGACCCCTCTCTTCTTGTCCCATCCACAGGAGTTACAAGGTTCGATTCAACAGTGTGTCCTCTTATTCAGATACACGGAAGTCCTCCAGTGATGAACCAGAGGTCAAGATCAATTTTGAGAGCACAGGACCGCTTGCTAATGTCAGGTAAACTAATAAGGCCTGGCATTATGTTCTCATGACTGAGATTATTTTTCATTGACTCCAAAGGCCCAGAGGGTGTTCAAATATCCAACCCTTAAAGCAATAACGATCATAAAACAAGATGAATAGGAGATTCAGGCTGCATGACAATGGAATCATGTCGAGGAAATCTTTGCCTAGGGATCCTTATGGACACATTATAAAGTTGGACCGGAAAAAATCAACCTTTTTCTTAAGCTAAAGTAAAATTTTCTATGAAAAAATCTGTTTTGGTTTCATCTACTAGGATTATAAGCTATTCTTGAAATATATCCACGGTATGTAACTGCAGATCTTGAAATTGGATCAATTCTAGTGTCTGTGCAAAGAGATGGAAAAGCATTTTTCTCACTTTAATACAATGTTTTGTTTTGCACAACATGCAATGTTGTTTTGAAAGCATGTGCAGAATTCACAGGTATCTTTTCTCAAATTCATTTATGGTCGTTTCAGATCATCAAACATTTTAGAAAGCAATATGCAGACTTAACTTTCCAAAGAAACTTTCCAAAAATGAGTCCAAACCAACTCATGACTGTGTAGAGAGAGAGAAAGGAAGCTTGTTCCCTTAACATAAATATTGATCCCTCAGGATTTTCTGGTTGATGCCAGAATTTATGGTTCCATTAAATGTAATCCAGATTTTAAAGTCTATCACAGAACTAGTCTGATGGATGATGACAGGATACGTTTCTAATGCAGTTGATGTTTTTCTGATACTGTTAATTTCATGTAGGATGCCAGATGGCACATACTTTCTGAAAGTCTTCTTTTTTTTTTTTTTGTGATGACCTAGGTTTGTCAGTAGCTCTGTACTGGTTTATGTTGCTGTGGTTCATTGGAACAGAGCCATAGAAGTGGCTTACTGACTCTCAAAAGCTGATCCATTTATTTCTAATCTGTTCATGCTTTCTTTTGTTGTCTTTTTTGGTGTGTTTTATTTCTTTTTCAATCAGGGCATTTAATGTTATGTGTTGTTGTTGTTTTTTGGTCTTTAGCCTAGTTGATAAAATAATAATTTGAGAGCCGCTCTTTGTTTGCTCCAGTTATCTTTTTTTAAATCAAATTTGTTCGATTAGAAACATTTAAAACTAGAACAAAAAGCTAAAACTGTAATGTGGAAGGCTTTGGGTAATTTTTTTCTGCAGTTTTACAGTTTACCATTTGTTAGCTTCAGTACTGGAAAATGATGCAGGTTTCTGTTTTACCTTCAGTAAGTTATATAAACTCACTTTGAAACAATATTGTAGAGTTTTTCTATGATTAAGTTATAAATGACAAGTGTTCCATTGATTTAAATATGACTTCATGTTCAACATTATCATACTCTGCTGATGAATGGACATCTGTGTGCCCTGTATTTTCATACTTACATTGTAGTCTGTAACTCAAAATAACTCAATTTTTTTGAAACTCAATCGTGAAATTATGAGTTAGTCAAAGTACCTTGCTGCATTCAGGGTAATTTCTACTGTAAGGTCTGTGTGCATTTAGAGCATTTATCTCCAGATACTGTAGGTCACACTCTCTCAAAATCCAGATGTTGTGATTGATTGTTCCACAATATGTTCTATCCCTCGACTGATATATCCTGCAAAATTTTAGGGTTATTCTTAAGGTCTATGTTATTTTTACCAGATTTTTTCCCATTTTTATAGAAAACCGAACCCCAGGTTATGTGCTCGAATACGGTAAGGTGTACAGCATCACTTCCTGTTTTCCGTTGCATTTGGTGATCGGTGGCGTTTCAGATCCTCTCGATTTGCTCTTGATTCTCTTTGCTGTTCATCTCTAAACTAATTTACCTGTACATATAGATGATTAAACGCATTTGTACTACTGATTTTTTTTTATTTTTCTTTCGGGGAACTTTGCTTCATAGCATAGTGCAGGTATTGCTTACCTAGCAATAGCTCTACTATGGCTTCTTTTGTGATATTCTTGTTCATAAATTATATTAATTCTAAAATACTAGATATGAGGAATATCTCAAAAGATATAAAAACCTGGATGTCTTCAGATGTTCTGGATAAATTGGCCACAGATAAAACAAAAACCTTAGTGTTGGATTTAATTGGTATTTGTCATTCAATGGATTTCCAGAATATTTATGAAAAATATTCCGTCCGTAAGTGACACTAACAAACAGTGAATGCATTAGTTACTGCAGAGCAGGGCTTACTGGGATACTATGTTTCAGTAGTAGTTCTTTACTATCAGGAAGTACACAAAGATTTCAGCTGATCAAAGATGCTGCAGTTGGAGTTCTGATTATGTTGAATATCAGTTTTCTTATCTTAGCCAGTTATTACTGACTCGGTTAATTTAAGAGTACAATTTGACATTCTTCTTATTCATTACCTAAGCAAGCTACATCATGTCTCAGATCTGATTGTTCCTTTTGTTCCTAAAGGAACACTTTGTAGTTTACTAGTCAAGACTATGCTGACTGAGACCATGACATTCCCGAGACCAAGGAGTACAGACACGAGACGAGACCAAAAAGACTAGACCAAAACAAGACCATGTATACATCAAAGGAAAATATTTTCTAATTTTGTTTGTGTTTATCAAGATGGATACCTTTAAAATTACATCTTGGTTCACAATGGCAGAATCTGTACAATTTGGACCTTTTTTTTTTTTTTTTTGTTCAAAATGTATGCAAAAACAATCTTTGTGCGTTTTTTTTTTTTTCCAAAGCAACTAATTTCAAATAAAAGAATAGATAGTCAGTACAAGCTAATATAAATGAGCTGTGTGAAAAAGCTGACATTTCAGAAAGGTATGTTTTCTTTACATTTTTGAGTTTTAGTCTTTCCTTTTTTCATGCAGCTGTTTTCTTCCTATCATCTCGCACTTTTCTACACTCAGGGAGATGCACAGGTTGAGCGTCAGTCAGTGTCACACCGGTGGCGGGCAGATGGCAGCTGCAGCTATGGGAAATAATTTCACTACGAAAGATTTTAAGTTACCATATTATTTACCGTTTTTAAGAAGGGTTTTTTTTTTGTCCTTATCAGTGAAGTAAACAAACGAAAAAATAAACAAAGCCCATCAGCAATGGTCTCTACTAGTCTCATTCAAAAAACCCAAGCCTTTTTACTTTGCCTTGTCCGAGACCAAATAAGGCAGAGTAACAAGGCAGCTGATATCAAGAAGACACCAAGAACCTAAAAATATAGTCCTGAGACTGGTCTCAAGACAAAGACCAATCTCAAGTACTACAACACTAGTACTTTGCTCCCACACTGCAGGTTTACTAAAGGTTCCTAGGATTTCTAAAAGTAGAATGGGAGGCAGATATTTTAGGAATCAGACTCCTCTCCCAAGGAGTCAGCTTTTATTATTAGTCTTTCAGGAGAAATTACCACCTCTATGTTAAGCGTAGGCTTAAAACTCTCCTAGCTTGGGTTATTATGAGCTATTTTCTAGTTATGTAGCTATAGGCTTATGCCTCATTAACACTGACCATGCTTGAAAATGCAAAGTCTGCAGTTGATGCGAATTAAGGCACATGAAAAGGTCCTAAAGCGCATCTCAAGCAGCTGGAGCAGCTCGTTAAAGCATGTAAACTTTTCAGGCTCATGAACTGCTGAGGCCAAATATGAACTTTAACTAAGCAATCAAAGAGAGACTCCACTATGTGGTGTTGATGTCTTTTTAGGAGACAAGTGTCAGCAGGTCATTAAACTGCGTTTGGGTGTGACAAAAATTGCTCTAGAAGGGACCACCGTCGGCATGCAGCTTTTTCATGTAGGTGGTGAAAATTTCCACAAAAATTAATTTCCTCTGCTGTATTGGTGTATCCAGACAAGGCACCAAGGCACACAACAACAGCAATCTTTAGCTGTATTTAGTTAATCAGCATAGCCCCTCTTTTAATTTCATCAGCCATTGTACAAGATAAATCCTCGTAACACATGTCAGACCTCTTCTTCGGCTTCTTTGATAGAGTTGGCTCTGTTTTTTTGTTTTTTTTTTTGTCTTTTAGTCCCATTTCTCTCCTAAACATAGCTATTGGTTCAGGTTTCATGTGCCCTCTTTCACCCTTTTGAGCGAAAAATTGTTTCAATCTCCAATGTTTAACTGTTTCTTCCCTTGGCAAAGCCTTCTGTGGTGCTAGTTTGCCATAACCATCTTTTACTTGTAAAGTATTTAAGGATCAGTACTTCTGTGCTCCTATTGTGTGTCTGCCTCCTTTTCACACCCCAGTCGGCTGTTGCAGAAGGCTACTGACACAGAGCCTGGTTCTGCTGGAGGTTCCCTCTCCACTGTCACTCCATGCATGGTTGTGAGGAATTAACAAAATAACTACAACAGGATTCAAGCAAATGCTCATTGTCACTACAGGCTCACCCAGGAGGAAAGAATTCTACATAGTCAATATCTTGATGTCGTCAGCTGGGTTTTCTTGCATAAAACACCTTTAACTGATCTGTCTGTGTGATTCAATTGAACTGGTTTTGTAAGGTGCCTTGAGATGACATTTGATATGAATTGGCATTGTGTTAATAAATTGCCTCCACCAAGGAGGTTGTGTTTTTAGGAGATTTTGTGTGTTTACCTGAGTACAGGATAACTTGAAAAGCTATGATCGGAGTTTAATGAGATTTTTACCAGATGTGCAGCTCAGTCCAATGAGCAATACATTCAATTTGATAATGCGCATCAAAATTAGGATGCAGGAATTTTTAAAAGTCTTTTTAACATTATGTAGCATAACTAGCAGACTATGGTTATCAGATTTTAAGAAAAGATTATTGATCTCAAAACTTTATTTTAAATTAAGTGAAAAAATTCGATTATTGCATCCTTCAAATATACATTGGTTTATTTGATTAATTTGCTGAGATTTTTTTCTGGCGTTGCTTTTGTCAGATTTAAATATTTCCGATGATCAGAGAAATTTACAGTGGCTGAGGGGTGTAAATGTCCTGCATTGCAAATGCAAAAATGAGACTAACACAACAGAAAATAAAGAGCAGCAATGTATAAACTAACTGCAAATTTAAAATCGGCAAACATAAATGATGCTGACACAAAAACACAAGATATATGCAAAGAGAAAATGCTGCGAGTGGCGAAAATATCTGCTGGGGAATAAAACCTGCAAACTCTCTGCATAAAAGTAATTCTCCCAACCACCAGAGGGAGACGATCATAAACGCATTTGACCAGACCTTTACTAAATGAGATCCTCTGAGAGATGAAATGTTTCAAAAAATTTCAAGGGCAAACTTTCCTTTTCATCTTTATATTATTTTTTTCTTTCCTCCAAATGTGCTCTGGCTGAGCATGCTATTTGACTTTACGAAGGGTCTGGTCCAGTGACATTTGTTGAGTTCGAATTCAACGGTTGCATCCTCCAAAGGCCAGTTTCGTCGTCCGGTTAAGTCATAGCCGAAGATCCCAGTTTAAGTAGACCGGCTCTTTGGAGAACACAGCCGCTGATAAATGCTGAATTTCTTCTTTCTAGTGTTTTTTTCTTTTTCTTTTTTTTTTTTTTTTTGCACAGGTTTGTCTAATTTATGTATTTGCAAGTCTCATTGTTGTTGTTTCTAAGCCCAATTGTTTTACTTTTAACTGTGCAAATATGTATTTGCAGGGTATTTGCAGCCCTTAGCCACAGTAGAAATTTGATTAAAAATTTCGAATAAAGGGCAAATGTTCTCAAGTTTGTAAAAATAAGCACGTGTTTTAACTGTTCTAGCCGACATGTGTTCTCCAAAAAAAAAAAAAAAAACAATATTACCATTTCAAAGGATTTTAGTCTGTTGTTCATTTTGAAAGCTAACAGTGTGGGATGCTATTAGAAAATAGTGAAGTTTCTACGGAGAGGTCTGCCAACCAAAATTGCTTGCAATGAATAAACTAATTTTGGGGAAGATTAGCTTTGCATCTAAAGCATAGCAAACCCTATCTCCTCTTAGTGTCAGACTTCATGATTCAACAGAACATACCAAGAAATCTGGTTAACCACTGAACACCCCAAATGTCAAAACTAATGGAAAAAAAAAAAAAACATGATTCCAAAAAATGTTTGGAAAACTAAAAACTGATTTTCAAGGCACACTGCCCTTCATGTTTTAGATGCCTCTCTGTTTCACCCACCTGATTTCAAATGAGGTTGGAATAACAGGCTTTGCTGAACTGCGGATGTCAAAGCAGAGAAACATTTAAAGAAATGACAGGCTGTGTGCCTTGAGGAGCAGCCTTAAAAATCTACAGTATGCCTTAAGGGACCTCTAAAAATCCTAAAAGAAAACTTCAAAACATCCCAGAAGGTTTGCCTTTCATTGGTTTACCTTACTGTATGCAAGCTTTTCCTCCTCATATTTTCTGATGCTGAAATGAAACTATGATATAACATAATGACACAAAATTCCTATTTTCCAATTATCTGAAATATTGATTGAACTCATTGCTGCCAAGGGTGCAACAACTGGTTTGTTAGGTTTAGGGAATACATTCAGGTTTTTTTTTGCTTTATACAAAGCCATACTCAACATTAAAGTGCTTCCTCAGAACTATTTCTATATTTTTAAAAATTCAAAACCAGCTTCGTAAGCTAAAAACTGTTGCATCAAAATGCTTACAGCTTAATTAAAAAATGTTTCTATACTTTGGTTTGTTTTGTTAAAGCAATCTCCTTTTTTTTTCTTTTTTTTTTTTCAATGCACTTTTTTGTTTAGGTTTTCAGTGTTTGGCCTTGGCTCCCGGGCCTACCCACACTTCTGCGCCTTTGCCCACGCTGTGGACACGCTGTTTGAAGAGCTAGGGGGGGAGCGCATCCTACGCATGGGAGAGGGAGATGAGTTGTGTGGCCAGGAGGAATCATTCAGAACATGGGCCAAAAAAGTTTTTAAGGTTAGTTTCTTAGGTGAAGACCTCAAATGCTCATCTTGTGTTGGATAAAGTGGGGGTTTTTTTTGTGTTTTTTTTTAAACCAAGTTCTATTTTCCAAAGCCTCCAGCAACAAAACATCACAATCCACCACAAAAAGAAACTTTTTAAAATAACTTTGCTGTTTTGCTGAACCTTGATAAAGCTGAGGCAGTTATTGCCATCTGATTTCTAAAGTATTTGTATTTTTCCAATAATTTTTCAATGCAGTAGATATAAAACCTTTTTTTTCTAATGATGTTTTTTCCTGTGGCTGTGTCATTGCGTTCCAAGGCTGCCTGCGATGTGTTCTGTGTTGGTGATGACGTGAACATTGAGAAGGCCAACGATTCCTTGATCAGCAATGACCGTAGCTGGAAAAAGAGCAAGTTTCGCCTAACCTACACAGCTGAGGCCCCTGTGGTGACAGAAGGTAGTATTTACGTGGGGGCATAGTTATGAACTATTGAGGGGGGCTTGATTTTAAGCAGACAATAAGTGCTGATAAGTAGCTTTGTACAAATAACTATAATTTATCAGTGACTCAGCCATTACATCTGAGAGATGCGAGTCTTAGCTGGAGAAAGAAATTTTGATGCAATTTAAAGCTATTTTACTTTTATAAACACTTGAGTCCGACATTATTCATGTAGTCTAGATTTGTGTAAACGTTATCATTAAATGTGATCCATACATTCGATGCAGACATAATTTATCATGATGATAGTTTATCTAGCAAAATGACTGTTTACCTGTAAATTACAGTCTGAGCTGAATAAGCAGTTACCGTACCATATGAATAACTGTAATTTAGAAGTATTTCACTGTATTTTGTCACATTACCAACCACAGAACTGTTAAGCTGGCACTTGCAGCATTTTACCTTTACACACACTTGGTGTTTGCAGCATGTTTGGTACTTGCTGCTGGTAATATTTCATAATTGCAGAATTGTCACATTACCAAACACGGAACAGTAAAGCTGGCACTAGAAGTGTGTGTGTGGGGGTGTGTGTTTGGGGGGGGGGTGTATCAGTTATACAAAAACACTAAGGGGAGCTGTACCTACCAATTTATCAAGTAAAATAACCCATAGAAACAGTTTTGTTGGCCTTTTTTTACCGTATTTCTAAATGTGTTTAACAGGTTCCTCTTAATAAATGTTGAAAAATGTATAGAGAGAAGCTTGTTGCATATAAATTCATATTACTGTTGATGTGTTGGTCACTTAACACATATCCATTGCAGGATTTCCATTAAGTTTATCAGAAGAGTGACGCACAAAGTTTTGTAGATCTTCCATCAATCCATTGTCCATATTTCCCACTTTGTCCTTGACAAGATACAGTGTGAGATATCAAAAAACACCTCAGAACGAAAAAAGCACATGTAACACAAGCCAAACATTTCAGCAGAAGGAAAACATTAGAGGCTGGAGTTGCATGAAAGTCAATCTGACATTTGAGCATCAGTTGTGTATGTATGATGAGTGTGTTTAATATGTCCATGAACGCTGTCCAGAGGCCATTGTCCTTGATAAGATGGAAGTCTATCAACCAGCGTGACAGTTCTCGACTCATCCACAGGTGTTCGTGGGTCAGGGGGGTGGCAGTTCTGGGCCCTTCCACCATAACATCTAGGGGGGAGGCCTAATCCAAAATGGCACTTTTTGTTTTTGAGAGCAGGCTGCACAGAATTTGCCGTCAGCCTTGGAGTCTTCTCTTGCTGGCTCCACATGGCAAATCTAATATTCCCAATTTGTTGGGCTTTTCTGCCTTGAAGCAAGTGTGCTTATCCAAGATATTATCCCATCTCACCTTGAGTTCAACCACCGCAGCCAGCCTGCGTTCAATCGCACCCAGCATATGGGTACGCTCACGATCTTGCTCATTGACAGTTTGTGAGGGCATCAACCGCTGTCTGCAGCCTGACCAATGCCCAAATTTCCACCGACATCCTCTATAATTGTAGATACATCAGGTATCCTCCAAAATCCAAATGGGAGAAATCCGAGTATCATACATCTGAAAATCCATGCATCTTCCACATCTTCGACTGATAATGTTGTAAAACACACCATACTCCAAGCCTTCCAGGAGTGCATGTTGTATCCCACAACGTATGTCTGCAGGACAGGAAGGGTCCTCTTTTCCCTGTCTTCCAGTTGAGAAAATTTGATCAATTGCATTGAGAGACCAGCTGACCAGATCCATTGTTTGAACTTGGGTGATATGTAGAGGGCTCAGAAAAGATAAGACACAGCAAAGCAGGGAAAGAGCAGGGGGTTACAGAACAGCAGGAAAGTGCGTCCGCCTCCTTCAAGTGTCTGACTGGTCATCACAGTGGTCGCCTAGACTCTTACAGGATAGGGTTAGGTCTAACAGGACTTAAAAAGAAAATCTTTTGATATAGTCCTCATGATTAGCCTGCTTTTTTAGCAATGGCATTTTTTTTATTGATTTTTCCTCCTTTTGGAGTATGGTAGTAACCATCTAATGGACAATTGTAAAAATAACTGTCCATATAATTTATCATCATATTATATCATTTATGTATTTGCAAAACAGTACTTTTATTTACTTCACTATATTAAAGTATTTTTAAATAGCATTATATGTTGATTTAATTTAAATTAAAAATCCTCTATTGCTTAATAAATTGAATTTAGGCAAAATCTTTGTTCTGAAATAGTGAAGAACTTCAGCTTATTCCAGCATGTGTCACCTTGCATTCTTACTTGGCACTTATGGGGTTGTAAAGCAAAAACAGGTTTACAGTGGCATGTCTCTCCTCCTTTCATAATTGTTTATTACTGGTAAATATTTCTCCCAGAGTGATATCAATAACCACCAAGCTGTAAAAGCAATAACATATCTGTAAATTTAAAGCACATAACCATATTTTCTATCCTTTAACCAAACACCCACACACCTGTTTGACTTGGAGTAATGAGGGGGAACTCGGCTGTGCTGCAGTTGTGCATATTAATGAAGCAGAAACGCAAAATCTAGGAGAATAAAGTATAAACGACAACAAATGAAACTAGAATAATTCAGACTGAAAGAATAACCAGCCAATGAAAATTATTGTCTTCAACTACATATTAAGTGTAAAGAATTACTGCAAAGTGAGACAATTTTTAACAATAAAAATAACAGGATAAAAAAATTTTATATTGATCTTTTTTTTTATTTGTTTTTTACAGAGGGTTCCATACTATTATTTGCATATTTGTGTGGTACAGTAAAAGTCAAGAGGCAAGTAATGTGTTTTACATAGAAATAAGAGGCATAAAATATACGTTCTGTTCTGCAAAATTATTGCAAACAAAAATCATGTTGATTATTATTTAACTGGATAAATAAACTTTGTTTTTGTTATTGTTAATATTATTTGAAAAGAACCAATTAGTGTAATGGTGTTTGCAACGCACCCACACACTAATTAGGTCTATTGCATTGTCCATTTGTAGATACTCATTTTATTTACATGTTGTTCACCAATGTATAAAATCAATTGCACATTCCAGAATCACCTTGTCCCTTCTATTAAATGTCACTGTTTTTTCTTTTGCATTTACCTTTCCTTAGTTTGACTGTTTTTTTTTTTTTTCCAAATTCCTCATCCAATTAAAATAATTTAGTTTAAACTCGGTTTGATTAGTTGTTTAGTTGAATTATCCTAGAGGACCAGCAGTAAAAAGAAGACTGTTGAATTGTACCATTATGAGCTTATTTAGGCCAGTTTCTTTCCCGATCATGGTGCATAATTATTCATTTGCTTGATCAGACAGCAAAGTCAGGGAATTATTATAGTGGTGGGTGAATGAAAAGTGCAGGCTCCTGCTCCATGAGTTAGTATCTCTGCTTACCCCATAAAGTGTTGAGCTCCACCACAGTTTACTCCATTTCTAAATGGGCTTTGCAGTGGCGTAACGACACAGCAATAGGCCCGTAAGTAACATTATATTGGTGTTCTCTTGGTCGCAGTCTTTATTCACTGGACTGGTAGTAGCAGCAACGGTCACCTCTACCTCTTCCCTTCTTTGAAAGAATGTGTTTATTTTCGGAAGTTTTTTCTGTTCTTTCAGCAGCTCTTCTTTCATTTTTCTTTTCTGGAATCCATTTAAATACTTCTTTTTGGTATCCATCATCGCTAACACATTGTACGTAACGCTTATGGTTTAATCTGCGTTCTGGTTTTAGTCTAACGTGATGTGACGACTTGGTTGCTGCACGCATGTTACATACCTAATATTTTCAGTCAGTTCAGCATAACCCATAATTTCAAGTTATAGTGTAAAAAATAAAATACTCAAATACATTGTTCTTTTAAGATCTTTATTGCAGTTTGAAACATATTATGAGTGTATTTTTTACCCACCGTCTAAACTATACACAGTTATTCAGTTATTAACATGGTAATTAAAAACGCCACTACTTTGCTATTGGTGTTGTTTAAACAGCTCACCATCTAGAAATTTGGCATGTGTTGCAGTATAAATACGGTCCGGTGTGGTCAGTCACTTCAGTATCAGGTGGTTTTAAGAGGACTTTTTCGGACCATTAAATGTGCAAAGAGACGTCCTAGTCTACAATTGCGTAGGGGGCCCACCAGGTGTCAGTGATGGAGCCCCTAAGAGTTTGTGGGCGCGTAAGCAACCGCTGGTGCTGCTTAATGATAGTTATGCCATTGGGGCGTTGCGCCATTATTTTATCGTTTTTAACTCTATTCATTTTCATCATATTTATTCTATCCGCGGAACTTCCAAAGAATATGACCTCCTTCTGAAAGGTCTCAGTGAATTTTTTTGTGGATTAATATCAGCATCAGTCTTCCCCATTTTGGTGTAGACCTGGGTTCCTCAATTCTGGTCCTGATGTTTTGATGTCTTGCACCTTTCAGATGTGTCTGCTTACACACCTAAATCAAATGGCTCAATTACCTTCTTAGTTGCAGTAAAATTTTCTAGAGTCCCTAATGACCTGATTATTTGACTCTGGTGTCTTGAAGCAGACGCATCTAAAAATTGCAGGACACCGGACCTCCAGGACTGAGATTAATGAACCCTGGTGTAGACTAAACCAGTCTAAAATAATACATGCACGATTCTATAGAAGCTTTATAAGACGACATCCAAATTAAAGGAAATGAAAGTCTGATAAATCGGATACATATTCCAGTAGAATGACTGAAGTAAATTCTCTTTTCATCTACCGGTACTGTTGTAAGAGCTCTGCATCTGTGGTTTCTTAGTCAAAACATGAATTGTAAAAAATGAATTTAAAAATTTTAGCACTTAACAGGAATTGTGGTATTTGGCTTTTATATTGTTTTTTCTTCTGTTTTTTTGCTTATGATTTAAAGTTTACACCAAAGGACTTCACAAAATAACCCCTCGCACATACCCACACAAAGTACAACAAAAACTACAAAAAAAAGTACAAAAACTGTGTATCTTCTACATCAAA